TTTCAGAATGGTAAATGAGCATTGGCGTCAACTGAAAGTCACTAGCTGTGTTAGTCCCTAACAAGAGAGTTAGCCTGTTCTTTGATTCTTTGAAGCCAGGCATTGACTTCTCCTCTCTTGCTATGAAAATCCTAAGTAGTATCATCTTCCAATAGAACGCTGTTTTGTTTCATTGAAAATCTATTGTTTTGAGTAGCCTCCTTCATCAATAATCTTAGCTAGGTCTTCTGGATTACTTGCTGCAGCTTCTCCATCAGCCTTTGCTGCTTCACCTTTTACTTTTATGTTATGGAAATGGTTTCTTTCTTTAAACCTGATGAACCAACCTCTGCTACCTTCAAACCTTTCTTCTGCAGTTTCCTAACTTCTCTTAGCCTTCATATTAATAGAATTCAGGAGAGTTTAGGGCCTTGTTCTGGATTAAGCTTTGGGTTAATAGAATATTGTAGCTGGTTTGATCTTCTATCTAGGCCACTAAAACTGTCTGGCATAAGAGGCCTAGCTTTCAGCCTATCATGGCTTTTGATATACTTTCTTTACTAAGCTTAATCATTTCTGGTTTTTGATTTAAAGTGAGAGATTTGTGACTGTTCCTTTCACTTGAACACATAGAGGCCATTACAGGGTTATTCATTGGCCTAATTTCAATATTGTTATGTCTCAAGGAATAGGGATGCCTGAAGAGAAGGGAGAGAGGCAGGGGAATGGTTGGTCAGTGGAGCTGTCAGAACACACACATTTACTGATTAAATCTGCTGTCTTTTACCAGCATAGGTTGTAGTGCCCCAAAACAGTTTGTAGTAACATGAAAGATCACTGATCACAGATCAGCATAACAGATATAATAGTAATGAAAAAGGTTGAAATATTCCAAGAATTACCAAAATGTGACCCAAACTGCAAGTAAGCACCGGCTGTTGGAAAAATGATGTTGATAGACTTGCATGATTCAGGGTTGCCACAAACCTTCGATTTGTACAAAATGTGGTATCTACGAAGTACAATAAAACACAGCACAATAAAGCGAGGAATGCCTGTAGTATAGCAGCTATTTTATCTTTGTGTTATAATCCTATTATCCATGTCATTTCTGTATTGTTACCGTTGACTAATTTTTCTTCTCATTATATATTATATTTTTCTGCTTTTTCACATCCCTGTTAATTTCTTTGGATGCCAGACATTGTGAGTTACATAGTTGGATGCTGGACTTTATTTTTTTTGAGACAAGGTCTTACTCTGTTGCCTGGGCTAGAGTGCAGTGATGTCATCATAGTTCACTGCAATCTCAAGGGCTCAAGTAATCCTCCTGTCTTAGTCTCCTGAGTAGCTGGGATTGTTGGTGTGCGCTACCATACCTGGCTAATATATATATATATATATATATATATATATATATATATATATATTTAATTTTTGTAGAGATGGGATCTTGCTATATTGCTCAGGCTGGTCTTGAACCAGGTATTAAGTAGTCCTCCCACGTTGGCCTCCCAAAATGCTGAGATTACAGGCATGAGCCACCACACCTGGCTTGTTTCTTTTTTTCTTTTTGGGGGTATTCTTTTAAATATTTTTTAGCTTTAGTCTGATATGCAGTTATTTGGAATTAGTTTGATCCTTTTGATCTAATCTTTGTTAGAGTGGTTCCAGGATAGACTTTATTGTAGGGATAATTTGTATTCACTATTGAAGCAGTTCCTTCTTCCCAGCTCAGATAGAATCTGGTGTGTACAGGATGGTATGACCATTGATGAGGCAGTTCCTTCTAAAGACTCTACTCTTGGCCAGGCGCGGTGGCTCACGCCTGTAATCCTAGCTCTCTGGGAGGCCGAAGGTGGGCAGATTGCTCGAGGTCAGGAGTTTGAAACCAGCCTGAGCAAGAGCAAGACCCTGTCTCTACTATAAATAGAAAGAAATTAATTGGCCAACTAATATATATAGAAAAAATTAGCCAGGCATGGTGGCACATGCCTGTAGTCCCAGCTACTTGGGAGGCTGAGGCAGAAGGATTGCTTGAGCCCAGGAGTTTGAGGTTGCTGTGAGCTAGGCTAATGCCATGGCACTCACTCTAGCCTAGGCAACAAACCGAGACTCTGTCTCAAAAAAAAAAAAAAAAAAGACTCTTAAATATTAGGTCTTTCCACTCTTGTTGGACCTATGTGGTCTTTGAGAATGTCCTTTTTTTCTGATGTTTTTTCCGCTGGCCATACTTTAATCACATGCATGTGTAGATCAGTAATCAGCAAAAGACTTGGGAGGACTCATCTGCTGCAACTTCCTTCTTTCTGGTTCTCTGATCTGCAAATTCTAGCTGTCTTGAAGCCCCCAACTCCATACTCACTCCTCAACTCAGGAGAGGACTGATGGACTCTAGGTATTCTCTTTTATCACTGAGACCTGGAAATGTCAGCCAGTAAGGTCAGGTACTTATAGGGTTACCTTGTTTGTTTTCTTTTTCCTAAGTATTACTGTCTTGTGTTGCCTATTGACCATTGTCTGAAAACCACAGTTTAATATACTTTTAGCTTTAGTTTGGTATGCAGCTAAGTTATTTAGAATTGGTTTGATCCTTTGATCTAATCTTTGTTAGATTGGTTCCAGAATAGACTTTATTGTAGGGCTAGTTTGTCTTCACTACTGAGAACAAAATAGATTTTGTCTACTTTTTTAATTATTTAAAGGAAGAGGGTAAACCCAGTCTTTCTTATTCTGTTATGGCTTGAAGCAGAAGTCTTTGTATAATTTGAAAGTTTGTCACTTACCTTTCCTTACTCTAGACTGTTGAAAAGAAAAAATGATTCCTAAAACTAGACATTATATTGAGATAAGTGGTAATATACAAATGTATTTCATTTTCATATATCTAAATTATGGAATTTGAAGCCACTGATTGGATAGACCAAAATATACTATAGTAGCATCCCCCTCCAATGATAAGTTTTGCTTTCTGTGGTTTCAGTTACCCATGGTCAACTGTGGTTTGAAAATATTAAATGGAAAATTCCAGAAATAAATAATTTAGAATTTTTAAATTACACTACATTCTGAGTAGTATGATGAAATCTCATACTGTCCTACTCTGTCCCACCAGGGATATGAATAATTCCTTTTTCTAATGCTATCCGCCTGGTAGTCAGTAGCCTTCTCAGTTGTTAGATCAACTGTCATATTACAGAGCTGTGTTCAAGTAACCCTTATTTCACTTAATAATGGCCCCAAATCTCAAGAGTAGTGATGCTGGCAATTTGGATATGCCAAAGAAAAGCTGTAAAGTACTTCCTTTAGGTAAAAAGGTAAAAATTCTTGATTTAATAAGGAAAGAAAAAAAATCATATTTTTTTCTGAGGCTGCTAAGATCTTTAAAAACAAATCTTCTATCTATGAAATTTTGAAGAATGAAAAAGAAAATCATGCTAGTTTTGCTGTTCCACCACAAACTGCAAAAGTTAGGGCCCCAGTGTGTGATAAATGCTTAATTAAGGTGAAAAAGGCATTAAATTTGTGAGTGGAAGACATGAACAGAAAATGAATTTCAATTGATGGCAACATCTGCTGGATTAACTTAATCTTAATTAAATTAAACTTTATCATAGATATGTATGTATAGGAAAAAACATAGTGTATATATAGGGTTTGGTAGTATCTGAGGCTTCAGGCATCCACTGGTGATCTTGGAACATATCTTCCAAGGATAAGGGGGCTATTGTATATGCAAAGGACTGGTTACTAAAGTTTTAATTAGAGCCCATTGTCTGATTGATTGATAGATTGATTTAATGGGTCGGAGTGAAAAGAGGGCAGGCACAACTGAGGGCCTGCTCTGTTCCTCAACTCAAGCCCAGAACATTGTTTAAAGTAGTTTGACAGTTTGTTATAAAGATATACCTGCACTTACCATGTGACCCAAGAATTCTCCTCCAGAATATTTACCCAAGAGAAATGAAAGCAAATGTTCACACAAAGACTTGATAGTTTTATTCATAATGATCCCAAACTGGAAACAACTGAAATGTCCATCCACATGGATAGATAGAATACTACTCAGTAATTAAAAGGAACATATCATTAATACAACAACATGAATCAATTTCAAAAATATGCTGAACAAAAGAAGCTAGACAAAAGAATCCATATAAAACTTTTCAAAAGAGAACAAACTAATCCATAGGGATAGAGATCAGAGAAGTGATTTCATGAGGTAGGTAAGTATCGAGAGATTACAAGGAAACTTTGGAGTGATGGGAATAGTCCATATCTTGGTTGGTGTGTTGGTTGTACAGGTATATACATTTGCTAAAACTCATCATACTACTCTTAAAATGTTTATTCATTTTATTGTATGTAATTTACACCTTAAAAAAGTTTGACTACACTTTTGCGGAAGGCATCTTCCAAGAGCAGTTGCATTTAGGATTCACTAACCGTCCTTCCTCCAGACAGCCTGCTGGCCCCACTTGTTGCCCACAGCAGCTCCGACCTGGGTGTCCTTGGTTTCTGCCCTGCTGGCCGCCCTGCTGAGCTTTCCAGGCAGTGGCATGCTTGGAGTCCCAGCCAGTGGGAGCTGAGAAAGGAGGGCTGCTTGAGCCCAGGAGACCACCTGGACAAAAGTGAGACCCTGTCTTTCTAAAGTATTTTTAAAAATAAAATATTATGTGAACTGGAAAAAAAATAGTTTGACTAAAAAAAGAAAACTCTAGTAAGTGGGTTTAACAAATAACCTAATAATATCGACTGAAATCTGAAATGTTTAAATATGTCTAAACTTATTATACATGACATAAATATATATACACAAACATAAAACAAATATTAGCAACCTAGATTCTGCTTCTGTCTTAAAATGCAGAGTTCCTTTGAGCCTTTCACTTTCTTAATATATGAAATGAGAAGATTAAGTTAGAAATTCTTTGTATCTGCCTGTAATAAGAAAGGAGTTAATAAGTTTAAAAGTTAATCTTTTAAAAATTGGCTTGACTTAAGTAATTTTTTTTTTCCAGAAATCTTCCTGCTAAATCTGTGGAAGAAGCTTTACGTCACCGACAAGAATATGATGAAATGGTGGCTGAGGCTAAAAAACGAGGTATAAAACTTAACTTGAAATGGTATAGTTAATTTTCTGGTTTCAACAAGAAGATGAACAGTGAAATTGATCAAGTCTGTCTTCAGGGTGATATCGAATTCTTATTTTTCCTTTACTATTTTTATAATTAGGTTTACTCTTAAGGAAGAATAAAATGACATACTAGGATCATAATTTTTCTGCAAGTACTTTTATAAAACTAATATGAGGAATCTTGAAATTGTAGTTATTAATTTGGATTACTACCATCTTAATTTATAAATGAAGATATTATTCATGAATCTATTCATGAATTTCACTTTCTACAGTTTTTAGGCTTTTGATATTTTATAATTTATAATTATTTTATAATTTAATAATTTTAACTTATTACATGGCTCTGAGAATATGGTTTAAAACTAAAATTCGCTTTCATGACTTATCGAGTCTCCCCAGGGTCCCAATTATGTCATTTGATCAGGCATATGAATGTATACTCTCATTTGTGTAAATTTACATATTTATTCATCATTCTCTTCCCCAATCAAAAATATAACATAAGGATAATTTATCATTATTTACTGACCATTGTTATTTCAGGATATTTTAGAAAATATCCCGTTTGATACTACCTGGATGTGATACTCTGAATAAGCCTAGTGTTAGTTTTCTCATTTGTAAAGTGTGGGAGGCAGGTCAACTTGATCAAGGGCTTTCAAGCCTGTCTTTCAACTCTTTTTTTTTTTTTTGAGACAGAGTCTCGCTTTGTTGCCCAGGCTAGAGTGAGTGCCATGGCGTCAGCCTAGCTCACAGCAACCTCAAACTCCTGGGCTCAAGCAATCCTGCTGCCTCAGCCTCCCGAGTAGCTGGGACTACAGGCATGTGCCACCATGCCCGGCTAATTTTTTCTATATATATTAGTTGGCCAATTAATTTCTTTCTATTTATAGTAGAGACGGTGTCTCGCTCTTACTCAGGCTGGTTTCGAACTCCTGACCTCGAGCAATCCACCCGCCTCGGCCTCTGCCTCCGTGGGTGCTAGGATTACAGACATGAGCCACCGTGCCCAGCCCCTTCAACACTTTTTTAAAAAAAAACCAAAATATTGGAACCTTCTCCTAAGAAATCTTACATAGCATTTGAATACATAAAACAAATAAAAGAAAGTGGAGCTGCTTACTTGGGCTCCTACTTGCCCCTCAAGATGGTTTCAGAGGCATGTGTGAAATACAATTTGAAAACAGTTTGACTGCCTGATCGCTGACATCCTAACTGGTTCTAAAATTATACATAACTTTTTTCATTTATTAGTCACTTCTCTCTATATTTGAAGCATCTCTTGTTCTGAATTCTGACTTTTGATTCCCAGAGATGTGTTGTTAATATATGTGTTCGTTGGGGGGATTTTTAAAATTTCAATCTAATTAGTAAAGTGAAACACCATATTAAAAGGGGTTCATATACTAATAGTGCCACTGGCAAAATCATTTTTTGATGTCATGGTATTTATGTCAGGAATTCATAAACCCCTTGGATGAATAATGGGTATTTTTTGGTTCCTCGTAGTTCATTTTTTATATCGTTAATTTATAACAAATTTCACTTGATAGATTCTAAATAGAAATGTGTGCTATAGTAATCCATTTATATGATTTTCTGGCTTTTATGCCATTTACTTTTATAGTAGAATAGGAGATGTTATTTTAAAATTATGGGTTAATGGCTGGGCAAGGTAGCGCACACCTGTAGTCCCAGCTACTTGGCAGGCTGAGATGGGAGGATCATGTGAGCCCAGGAGTTTGATATCAGGCTGGGTAACGTGGCTAGAGCCCATCTCTTTAAAAAAAAAAAAAAAAGAAAGAAAAAAATTATGTTAATCAAGTTCATTTCCTTTTTCTTTTTCCCCTTTTTTCCTCCTTCCCTCCTGTCCCCTTCTTTCCTTCCTCTTACCTGAATATTCTTTTTGAGGAAGCCTCTTTTGTAGAGTTAGATAGATGGAGAAGGGGGTTTTGATCTAGCTCATTTGTATTGAAGTAATTCTTGCTTGTTTAAAACAGAAATTAAAGAAGCATATAAAAGAAAAAGAATAATGAAAGAACGATTTAAACAAGAAGAAAATATTGCAAGTGCAATGGTAATTTGGATCAATGAAATACTGCCCAACTGGGAAGTAATGTAAGTATAACCAGACTTTTCCTGAATTCTAGTTTGTCTCCAAAGATCTCATGTTTCCAGTTCTCTATTTATATTACTTCCCAGCTTGTATCTTATGATTTGACTAAATTATACTATTAATCTGTGCTAGAAAATTTCTATGTTTATCTTGCCTTTGCTTTATCCCTCAAGCTCTAATACCTACATCCCTTACTGACCATCCTCTGTGCCTGTCAAAATATTACCTATCCTTTGAGGTCTAACTGAAATGGTAGTTGATTTATGAAACTTTAATATCCTCAGTTACTGTATTTTTTAAATTCTAACATACCGTTGTGTTAGGATGCATTTTTTATGTACTACCAGATTTTTGGAAAGAAAATATTAAATATTTCATGTGTTATAAGATACATTTGTTAATATTAAAGTGATTTTTAAAATGCCTTTCATAATCAAGTAAATATATATGATCTTTCCTTTATGTAAATGTCCCATCATCATACTTTGAAAGTAATATACTTCTTGCCTTAACTTGTTTTTTACTTTTTTGCCAACATCTGTTTTTTAATTGACAATAATTGTATATATTTCTGGGGTATAATGCAATGTTTGCTATATGTTTACATTGTGGAATGATTAAGTCAAGCTAAGTAACAAATCCATCACCTCACATACTTATTATTTTTTTGAGGCAAAACATTTGAAATCTACTAATTCAGCAGTTTTGAAATATACAGTGCATTATTATTTATTATAGTCACCATTCTTTTTTTTTTTTTTTTAATTATTTTTTGTAGAAACTGGGTCTCACTGTTATGCCCAGGCTGGTCTTAAACTCCTGGCCTCAATTGATCCTCCCACCTCTGCCTTCCAAAGTGCTAGGATTATAGGCACGAGCCATCATGCCTAGCCTAATAGTCATCATTCTATGCAATAGATCACTAAAGCTTATTTCTTCTACTGGAAACTTTGTATCCTTTCATCAACATCTCCCCTTTACCTATTCCACAACCCCCTGCCTCCCAGCCTTTAGTAATCACCATTCTACTGTCTACTACTTCTATGAGTTCAACTTTTTAAGATTCTGCACATAGGTGAGATCATGTATTTGTCTTTCTGTGCCTGGTTTACTTCACTTAGCATAATATCCTCCAGGTTCCTCCATGCGACATCTTCCTGTCACAAATGACAGAATTTCTTTCTTTTTATTGCCTTTTATGTTTTGATAATTTTACATATGCTTTATCTTCCCTCTGGACTGGAGGGTTGAGGGTACCTTCTACAATGCCTAGTGTAGGATGTACGTTGGGAATTTGTTGAATATTGGCACAATGTGACAGATATCATATCAGGCTCTTTACATAAATAATTGCATTTGATTCTTAGAACTTTTATAAGGTATATGTATTTTTACTCCCATTTATCTTACAGGGAAACTCAGAGTCAGACAGGTTAAGTGATTTGCCCAAGGTTATACAATTAGTGAAGGTTTAAACTAGATTTGAACTCAGGTCTATCTGACTTGAAAGCCTTTCAGCAGACTATACTGCTCCTCAAAGCCTTACCCATAGTAGATTCTTAGTGGGATTTTGTTTTCTGGTACTGAATTGGGATCACTTATTTAGGTCCCTTTTATCCTGTTTTTTTAATAATTGTCCACATATTTCTGATTCTCTTATTGTATTGTTGGTATAAATGGCACTTATATTAATAGAAGGCAGGTCCCTTTAAATTTCTGTTGTCTGTCTTTGAGCTATTATTATATATGTATTTTGTAGGCTTTTGTTGCCTACAACATGCAAGCATGAACTCAAAGGAAAGAATGCATTCCATATATCATTCTCTATGTTCTTAAAAATCATTTGATCACTTGGCCATAGATTAGGTAAAACCATCATGCAACTAGCATTTTGGGTATAAAAAGTAACTTTCTCCTTTTTTCTCCTCCTTTAATTCTAGGCGTAGTACAAGAAGAGTTCGAGAATTGTGGTGGCAGGGATTGCCCCCTAGTGTTCGTGGGAAAGTTTGGAGTCTAGCTGTAGGAAATGAACTAAATATCACTCCTGGTTTGTATTCTGTGTTCAGTTACTCCCATACATACAAATAGCCATCTCCAGAGTTAAAAAGCAGATTGTGGCCATTTGCAAAGGCATTACCATGTATAATGTCATTTTGAGAGCATGCTTCATCTCCCCCAAAACTTGTTATGATTTAATAAGTTATACTTTATAAATAAGATTTGTGGTTTTTCATTTATTTATTTGTTTATTTATTTTTTGAGACGGGCTCTTTCTGTGTTGCCCAGGTTGGAGCACAGTGATGCAGTCATACCTTATCGCAACTTTGAACTCCTGGGCTCAAGGGATCCTCCTGCCTCAGCCTCCTGAGTAGCTAGGACTACGGGTGTGAGCCATGGTGCTTGGCAGTTTTTCCTTTAGTTTAGAACTATCAATAATGTTGTTGGTTTCCAAATATCAAAAACTTCTTGGATTCTAGTGGATAAATAAGTATATACAAGAAAAAGAAAACAGTCTAACTGTGAAAAGGCTTCTCTTTTACTGAAAAAAACATAAATACTAAAAGAAGGCTAGAAATTTCATTTCTTACCTCTCCACCGAAACCAGTCCTTTCAGATTTTTTTTTTTTTTTTTTTTTTTTAAATTTTAAAGTTTAAAAGGCAGGAAAGGACTGGGCGAGGTGGCTTATGCTTGTAATCCTAGCACTCTGGGAGGCCAAGGCGGGCAAATTGCTCAAGGTCAGGAGTTCGAAACCAGCCTGAGTAAGAGCAAGACGCCGTCTCTACTCTAAATAGAAAGAAATTAATTGGCCAACTAATATATATAGAAAAAATTAGCCGGGCATGGTGGCGCATGCCTGTAGTCCCAGCTCCTTGGGAGGCTGGGGCAGGAGGATCACTTGAGCCCAGGAGTTTGAGGTTGCGGTGAGTTAGGCTGACGCCATGGCACACACTCTAGCCTGGGCAACAAAGCAAGACTCTGTCTCAAAAAAAAAAAAAAGGCAGGAAAAGAAGTCAGAAGACTTTCAAGGATTTGTCTTATTTTTTTTAAGTTTCTTAAAACCTTGACACATAGGAGTAAAATATAGGGTAATTTTGATGAATTTTTTAAAAATTTATAAGATTAGGATAATATTGCCAGGTGCAGTGGTACACACGTGTAGTCCCATTTATTTTGGAGGCTGAGGTAGGAGGATCGTTTAAGGCCAGGAGTTTGAGGCCAGACAGAACAACATAGCAAACCATCTCTCTTTACAAAAATAATAGATGAAAAAAATTAAGATAATATCAAATAGATGAAAATAAAATAGTTAATAATAAAATGTGCTAAATTGGTTTGAGCGATAATGTTAATACCATATAGTGGACCACAGAAGAACTTAGGGACTCTAGTACAATAGAAATAATATATTGTCACTGTTATTTCTAAAATTTTTCTTTTTATATTAATATTTATTTAAAAAATCAAGCAATAATAAAGTATAAGTCTTTTCCACTCTTCTACCCAAACTCCTATTCTCAATCCTACTGTAAACCCTGTTTATCAATTTGGTGTATGTTCTCCCAGATCTTTTCTCTGTGTACATAAAAAAATATTCATTTGCATATAATATGGTTTTTTTTTGAGATGTGTATTCATTCTCTTCTTTTTCATTAGTGGTAGAAGAGATGCTAATTTTTTGTTGTTGTTTAGACAGAATCTCACTCTGTCACCCCAGGTAGAATGCAGTGGCATTGTCATAGCTCAGTGCAACATGAAACTTCTGGACTAAAGTGATCTTCCAACCTCAGCCTCCTAGTAGCTGGGACTACAGACGGGTGCCACCGTGCCAGGCTAATTTTTCTATTTTTGGTAGAGAAGGGGTCTCACTCTTGGTCAGGCTGGTCTCAAACTTTGACTTCAAGCAGTCCTCCTGTTTCAGCTTCCTAGAGTGCTAGAATTACAGACATGAGCCACTGCACTGGCCTAAGATGCTAAATTTTGATTGAAGTAAATTTATTTTTGATGATCTTGATTACTTTTGGATTATTTTGGTAATTTGACTCTTATTGTATTTGTTTTAATCATGAAATTTATAACTACTAGTGAATAGCAGCTAAGAGTAAGGGCTCTAAATTCAGTCAAATGTGGTTCAAATCTTAGTTCCACTATGTATATTAGGTTTGCTACTTGGGCAAATTACTTAACATCTAGAAGTCTTACATTTCTTCATCTGTAAAATGATGGCAAGATTATTAGCTATCTCAAAGGATTGTTTTAACAGTCATTTATTTGTGATAATATAAACTTATAGTGAGAGTGCATTTTGCTAAGAATAAATATATTATCATTATTACAAAATCAGAAAATGAAACATAGGCTAAAATCAAAGTATTCTCTGTTCAAGTCCAAAGTACCATCTTTAAGCCTGGTTCAAGCTCTCTGTAGATTCAAAATAAGTGTGATATGAGGGCCCAAGTATGGAATTGAACTGAGCTACAGGTCTTCTTTTTGTAGATAAGCACTGCAAATCTTACCAGGAGAGATGTCTTTTGATATTTTGAAATGCATTACATGTTTTTATTGTTGAATCAGTTTTGTGACTTTCAAAAGTGATGGATTTGTCTGATGAGCCTTTCTTCCTTTAAGGCAGTTTTAAAATTTGGGTAGAATAATGAAGCCGAAAGACTGGCTTAGAACCAGTTTGAAATAAAAAAGTATAGATTTACAATTTGATACCTGATAAGCCCCGAATAATTATATGTATAATTTTTTTTTTTTTTTTTTTAGTCAGCTAGAGTGCTGTGGCGTTGTCAGCCTAGCTCACAGCAACCTCAAACTCCTGGGCTCAAGCGATTCTAATGCCTCAGCCTCCCAAGTAGCTGGGACTACAGGCATGTGCCACGATGCCCACATAATTTTCTCTCTATATTTTTAGCTGTCCAATTAATTTCTCTCTATTTTTAGTAGAGATGGGTCTCCCTCTTGCTCAGGCTGGTTTTGAACTCCTGACCTTGAGCAATCCACCTGCCTCAGCCTCCTAGAGTGCTAGGATTACAGGCGTGAGCCACCACGCCCGGCCTACATTTTTAAAATTATATTCACCTCTCCTACCAAATCATTGATGGAGTTGGGCAGAAATAATAGGATTTTTAAGGTTGATTTTTTTTGTTTGTTTGTTTTACTTTCTTTCCAAACCATTAACAGTAATGAAAAGTGAATATAAGGGAGAAGAGATTAGTAAGAGTCTGTTTGAAATATATCTAGTCAGCTATTTGATAATGATCTGATCCTTGGCAGTATAAGGATACTTGTGATGGTATAGTCATACATTGGAATACTATACAGTTGTTGAACAAAAAAGAAAGAAAATCTATGTATACTAATATGTAACAACCTCCATTATAACAAAGTAAGATACAGACCAGTGCATGTAATATGTTGCCACTTTGTTTTATTAAAAAAGAGGATATATATGTATATGTGTGTGTGTGTATATATATATGTATATGTGTGTGTGTATATATACATATATACACACACATATGCATACATACTTGTGCATGCATATTTTCATTTTTGGAAGCGTTCATGAGAGCTCTGGTAACTATAGTTGCATCTGAGAGAAGGAAATTTATTTTTCACTCTATACTATTTTATATGGTTTCGATTTTTTTAAAGTCATGTTTAGGAATTACCCTTAAAAATGAATTTTTTAAAAGGATTAATTGAAGCAAAGATGTGTTTGTTTGTTTGTTTTAAGAGACAAGGTGTTGATCTGTTACCAAGGCTGGAGTACAGTGGCACAGTCATAGCACACTGCAGTCTTGAACGCCTGGGCTCAAGCAAGCCTCCTACCTCAGCCTCCCAAGTAACTGGGGCTACAGGTGTGCATCACCACACCTGGCAATATTTAAAAAAATTTTTTTTTAGAGAGATGGAGATCTTGCTATTAATATGTTGCTCAGGCTGGTCTCAAACTCGTGGGCTCAAGAGATCTTCCCCCCTCAGCCTCGCAAAGTGCTGGGATTAGAGGCATGAACCACTGCACCTAGCCTCAAAAATGTTCTTTGTTTTGGACAATATATAAATGTTGGCTTTAGGGCAAGAAATATTTTTTGCTGTTCTTCAGTCCCTGAAATGTACTATTTTTATGTAATTTCAAGTATCTGTAGTGATTAGTTACAAAGTAAGGACAACTACAATTTGAGAGTTGAGAAAAATTTCTCAATCTTTTCTGTTCCTGAAATTTTTGTGAGATCAAACATATTGGAAGCACAGTGAATGGGCACTTAAGTTAAAAAGGTAGGGTAGATACTTCTGTATGTAGTGCCTTAGGTCAAATCTGTATGATGTACAGGTAGCTTTAGATTTCCACATCATAATGGAGACACCAGTTTCAGGAGAGAAAGAAAGCAAACGCTAGCATTTATTGAGGGGCTATAATGTACCCAGGAACTTTACATAAATTATCTTGTTTAAGTATCAGTAACCCTGTGATTAGGTATTGTTTGCTTCAGTTTCCAGATGAAGAAAGCCAAGTTCCAAATTGGTTAAGTAACTTTCTTAAAGTCCCACAGGTAGTAAGTGGCTGAGCTAGAATTTGAATCTAGGTCTGACTAACTCTAAAAATCATGTTTGTGCTGTTCTACAATGATTCTCCTTTAGTAGAAGCATCTCTTCATGACTCATATACATTCTATATTGTAGCTACTTAAATGATCACTCTGTAATATTTTTATTTGCCATCTTTCTAGTTGTAAAATAAATAGTTTTGGTATAATCAAGTACGTCAATTTGCCACTTTTTTGATACCCACTAGATAGAGAGACCTGACCTACAATAGGTAAAGAATAAAAATAAAAATTTGTGAATATATTTCTTTTCTATTCTTTATGAATTTTTGTTTTTCCTCCCAGAACTTTATGAAATCTTCCTTTCAAGAGCAAAAGAACGGTGGAAAAGCTTCAGTGAAACAAGTTCGGAGAATGATACAGAAGGTATGTTTTTTTGGTTCTTTTTAATAAGAATTTTGGGATGAAAATTCAGCCACTAAGAATAATAACATGAATTTGTACCATGTGTCAGGATCTGTAGTAAATGCTTTACGTACATCATCTCATTTAACCTCAACCCTTTTAATAGATGGTATTGTCTTGAATTATATAAGCCTTGGAAAAACCAAGGCTTAGAAGTAGCTAAATAAATTGAAAGCAGGGAAGCTGAGATATAAAGCTAGATTTGTTAGACTCCAGAGCCCAGGATTTTAATCACAACAGTAAGGCTAATGGAATGAAGTATTTTCAGGCCAAGCTTTTAACTTTAAAATAGATTATCTCTATATCTCACTTGTGACCTCTTATCTCTCCCCACCCACTGACTTCCATTCACTCCCTAGTATATTATTTATAATTCTTATCATGCCTTATCCTTTGTTTATTTAACTTTCACATAGCCCTCATCTTTCCCTTCATCCTCATCTTTTTTTTTCCTAATCATTTTGGAGAAAACAGGAACACTTTTCTTATAATCATAGTTTATTAAATTTAGGTAAATTTATTTAACCATCTCTTATCCTTGAATAATAGGGAGCTATTTTTGCCAGTCACTTTTCTGTTCTATATTTGTTCTACTTCATAGAAAGCACTCCTCTTCTTTTGCCTACAAGTAAAACTCTAAAAATGGAACTAAGCTTTGGATAGAGAAATGGTGCATATTTCATAGTGGTTTTCTATGAGTATGTAAACAACTCTGCTAAATTATTTGAAAACTCTTTTTTATGTTTTAGTGAAGTGAACATTAGGGTAGGGAAAATTGAGTAAGGTTAGAGAGAAGACTTGATTTCTAGAAGAGTTTATGTCAGTATCATCATGAGGCCTGTTAGATATGTCAGTTATTTGTGGAGAACTAAAATGTGCAGAAGGTGAAGATGTATGAAGTTATTATGCTGGCAGAGCATCAGCTATTTCATCATTCTTTTAAAACTCCTTTTATCTTTTCTTTTCTTGTTTTTTTTTTTTGGTGCTGGCCAGGCCAGGTGAGGTCAAGGCCCCTGCACAGCAGTGCTGGTTTCTAAAACTAACTTTTATGAAATATTAAAATTATGAAAGTTAAAATTATGAACATTCACTTCTGAAACATTTTTTCATGAACAAATGATAAAGGTTGCACTTTAGTAGAAATTAATTGAATGTAATGAAGAGTTCCAAACAGAAGCACTGTTTTGTTTAAATTACTGTTTTCTTATTTCCTGAATGTTTATAATTCGCAGTTGTCATGTAACTTTTTGGCCATTATCTTTCCAAATATTACTTCTGACCCATCTCACTTATTCTCCTTCTGAGACTCCAGTTATGTGGACTCCAGACCATTTAACAGTGTTTTAGAAGCCTCATACTTTTTTTTCAATTCTTTTTATTTTTCTGCTTGTTTTGATTATTTTTATTGATCTATAATCAAGTTCGTTAATACTGTCTTCTGCTCTATCCAATCTACTATTAAATCTGTTCCATGAGGGCTGGGTGCAGTGGCTCAAGCCTGTAATTCTAGCACTCTGGGAGGCTGAGGTGGCGGGAGGATTGCTTGAGCTCAGGAGTTTGAGACCAGCCTGAGCAACAGTGAGACCCATCTCTATTAAAAATAGAAAAAATTAGCTAGGCATGGTGGCATATGTCTGTAGTCCTAGCAACTTGGGAGGCTGAGGCAGGAAGATTGCTTGAGCCCAGAAGTTTGAGGTTGCTATGAGCTAGGCTGACATGGTATTCTAGCCTGGGAAACCGAGAGAGACTCTGCCTCAAAAATATAAAATAAAATAAAATAAATCAAATCTGTTCATTTTGTTTTTAATGTCAGATACTATACTTTATAATTCTAAAATATACACTTGGTTCTTTTTATACATTCTATTTTTATGTTGAAAGTCTTCATCTTTCCATCCCATATATTTCTTCCATCTTTCTATTTAACATGTTTATAATAACATTCTTTTTTTTTTTTTTTTTTTTTTTTTAGAGTGAGTGCCGTGGCGTCAGCCTAGCTCACAGCAACCTCAAACTCCTGGGCTGCAGTGATCCTTCTGCCTCAGCCTCCCGAGTAGCTGGGACTACAGGCATGCGCCACTATGCCCGGCTAATTTTTTATATATATATCAGTTGGCCAATTAATTTCTTTCTATTTATAGTAGAGACAGGGTCTCGCTCTTGCTCAGGCTGGTTTTGAACTCCTGACCTTGAGCAATCCACCCGCCTCGGCCTCCCAAGAGCTAGGATTACAGGCGTGAGCCACAGCGCCCGGCCTATAATAACATTCTTATCTGTTAATTTCAATATTATATCATCTACAGATCTGCTTCTATTGGCTGGTTTTACCCTTGATTTTAAGTCACATTTTCCTATTTCTTTGTATATCTTAAATTTTTAAAATATATGCAAGACATTATATATAAAATGTATATATGCTGAGGTTTCTTCTGTAGAGGAAGCATGCTCTTTGCTGTTAGGCAGTTGGAATAAGAGTTTATCACCTCAATTAAATCAGTAATTGAGCTAGGTCAGGGCAAGGTTGCAGCTTGAGATAGATTTGGTTTATTTCAGGTTTGGGAAGAACTGTCCTATTTTGATTACAAGTATCTCTGTCCAGTGAGATGCTCTTCTAAGAACCATGTGACTTTGGTGGTTTCATTCTGCCTTTCCAGTCTGAACTGCATGCAGAAAAGTCCCATGGGGAAAACCAGATACACATTCAGAACTCCAGATTACTGTGTATCACATCAGTCTTATTTAGCCATGAAAAGCTCTTCTGGTTTCTTTTTCCCCAAGCAGAGTACCTTTGTCTATGGCAAGCTTGATCCTTGCCCACACTTGGCAGATGCTTCTAGGTAGAAGAATGGCCTCTAGTATCCACTCACCTAGGAAAGGCTCTTTCCTTTCTGGAATTTAAATCCTCTTGATCTCTCTGTATCTACAGATGTCTGATGATTTTTTGAAAAAATGTGATGTTTGTAATTTTTTTTCTTAATTGTTACCATGGGAATGATGGTTTGCCTCTATCTTCTATAAAAATTGGAAGCAGAAATACTTCACCATATAACTTTCTGATAAATGTATAGATATTTTCTTTATAAGTTCTAGCAAAAGCTATATGATATTTCTTGTGATTTCTTGATTATTCAGCTTTTAACTTTCTTTAAATAGCACATATGCTATGTGATCATTCTGTGTTTATAAAATTGAACTTTTACAGCCAAGTGATCATTTAAATTTTATCTACTTGGCAAATGCAGGTGTATCTGTTGCTGATCGAGAGGCCAGTCTGGAATTAATTAAGCTGGACATATCCCGTACGTTTCCATCTCTCTACATCTTTCAGAAGGTAGGGTTTCGAGCCAGCTTATAACTACTTAAAAAAAATCTTTTAATATCCAAGAGAGCAAATTCTCCAAATACATAGCTATTATTTTTTAAATGGCAAAACTATAAAAAATTGGGGCCTTTATATAAAAAGGATAAAACTAGGAAAATTTTAAAGGGATTTATTTTATTCTACTGACTGAAATACATTATATTGATATTAGGTCATTTAACATGAAATGTCCGATTTCAAATCAAAAGTGTCATTTATTATATCTCAAACAAGAAGCAGTACAACTAATCAAAGTATTCACCTAAACTATCAACACAGTTTTGCCATCTTAACGGTAGCTTGTTTATGCCAGCAGCAAAGAAGCCTGGAGAGCGAGTGGCGATGAAATTGCGAAAGGCGTTTTCGACAGCTTGTTAAGAATTGACTATTTTTCCTTGCAAGAAGTGGTCCAAAGCCCGGAAGAAGTGGTAGTCAGTTGGTGCAAGGTCTGGTGAATGTGGCGGATGACAGAGAGTTTCCAAGTCCATCTTCTGTAGTTTGAGCAGCGTTGTTTGTGCGACATGTGGTTGAGCATTATCTTGCAAGAGTATTGGCCTGTCTCTGTTGACCAGTCTTGGCTGCCTAATTGCAAGCATCATCATTTCATCCAATTGGATACAGCAGTCATCCGCTGTAATTGATTGACCAGGTTTCATGAAGCTGTAGTGGATAATACCGGCGCTGGACCATCAAACAGACACCATTAGCTTTCTTTGATGAATATTTGGTTTGGGCTATGTTTCTGGACTTCATCTTTATCCAACCATTGTATCGAATGCTTGCGATTGTCAAAAAGAGTCCATTTTTCACCACACATAACAATATGGTGTAGATACGGAGTAGAAATGCTTCACCTTTATGTCATGATAACAAAGAAAGGCAAGTTTTCAGACCATTTCTCTTCTGATGCTCATTTAATTCATACAGAACCCATCTATCCAGCTTCTTTATTTTGCCAATTTGTTTCAAATGGTCTAATGTTGTTGGAATGGTAACATCAGACCTTGCTACTAATCCACTCATAGGTTGAGATGGATTCGCTTCCACTACAGCTTTCAGCTCATCATTATCCACCTGGGTCTCAGATCACCCATGTGGCTTATTTTCAAGATTAAAATCACTACGACGGAACTTCTCAAACCATCGACCTACTGTTCATTTATTAGCCACATCCTTCTCAAACACTTTGTTGATATTTTGAGCTGTCTGCACTGCATTTGTTCCACGAAGGGAAATAATATTTGAAAATAACATGAATTTTTTACATATCCATGGTTTCACAAAAATTGCTCTAAAAAATTTAAAAGATAATCATAAGGCAGAACGTGTGTTTGAAAGACTAAGGATGTACCTTCACAGTAAAAATAAATAAAACGAAGTGTCAAAGTGAAATGTCAGAAATATCAACTATCTAGTATAATACTTAAGGAAATCGGACATTTCATACTTAATAACCTAATAGTTTAGCACATAATACCTTTTATGCAATAGGTACTTGATGAATTTTTCTTATGGTGAATTTCTTTCCTTTACTTTTTATTCTGTAAGATAGTTGTATTCTTAATATTTTTGCCTAATAAATTGTTATGATATAAAAACTTTGTCATAAAACTTAAAATTTTTCAGAATTACCATTGAAATAGGAAGGAATAGTTTTCTTTGTACAGAGGCTATTGTAAAGTTGCTTATACTTTATGTGAATAAAAATAGAAATATAGAAAAACTATATTTTATATGTACTTTATATTTGACTCGTCTTTGTACATAAAATGCCTCTAGATTGATAAAAATGAGGTAATTTATACTGTTAAGATTAAATTATAACTTAAAATTATTAATACAACTTTAGTATAGCTTGATGGTTTTCTCTTGCTGACATTGTTATTATATAAAATGAAACAGTCTATAGTCATCATACTCTTATTGTAGAACATCCAGAAGTCTTTAAAATTGTTTACAAACTATATGCATATAGCTCGTATCCATCACGTGAATTTATTTGGCTATTATTGTTCAGAATTAAATGTTTCCCATTAATAATTTAAAAAACATCTTAGCAGAGTGTTTACAATATTTTTGACATTTGTTAAATATGTTAAAGCTAGTCATTTAGGAAATGCTGCAGTTTTTTAACATGTAATATGAGAATTAACTTAGAGACAATTATTTGTATCCTTTCAAATTTCATTTTTCTCTCCTAAGGGTGGTCCATATCATGATGTGTTACATAGTATCTTAGGGGCATATACATGTTACCGACCTGATGTTGGTTATGTAAGTATTTGTTTCAGTCTGGTTTTTGAATATAAACATATTTCTACTCTTATCAAAATATCTTATGTTGTGTTAGCTCCCAAATGTCTGTATCTCTATGTCTGTTTTGGGGGGCTTATCAAGTTACTCACAGAGGAGTCTTTCCATCTCTTGCCAGAAGCTTATATGACTGGCTGCCAGCTTTCTGGGAGAACTGCAGATTTCACCATGCAATTTTGAAAATTTTATTTAATGCCCGTTCTGTCAGTGTGGTGCCTTATCTGCCTGACCCTAACTCTCTTTTCCCTGACTGTAACTCTAGAAAATAAACCTCTTATGTTCTACCAAATTAATAGTTTAAGGGAGGAGATTTGCTCCTTTTATAGACTTCCAATCCTATCTCTAGACCTACCCTTCAATTTCAGAGGTACCTGATAACTTCAATTCCTAAGTCTTCCAGGATTTTATGGCTGAATTGGCTTGTTGATTATTGGCTTCCTCCTCTGCAGATATTTTAGTTTCAACATTTTCCACTTATTTAAATTAAAATTTCTGAAATGCTATTGACATCCTTATTGTTGTTTATATCATTTTCTATTGTCTTTGTCCTCTTAGGTTAATACTTATTTTTTTCTTTACTGTCATTTTAGTTGGATTTTGGGAGGGAACAAAGAAAAATATGAGTGTTCAATTGCCATTTTTAACTAGAAGTCATAAAACCTTCACCTTCTTACCTTTGTCTTAAAATAGAAGAATTTTAGAGATCTCACTGTAGGGTGGCTGTCTGGTACAACATACTTGGTTCTGTTGCATGTCACTTATATATTCATTCATTTACTCAACAAATATTTATTGTATGCTTATTACTATATGCCAGGCATTATTTTAGGCATGAGATACCTCCATGAACAAAAGAAAGATTTCTCCCCTTATGATTCTACAGTTTACAAGAAGGAAACAGATAATAAACAACAAATGAAAAAATAAATTATGTTATATTAAAAGATAATCAGTGCCATGGAAAAAATATGGCATGATAAAGAGAGGATGTGCCAGGTTTTTTTTGGGGGGGGGCAGGTTATAGTATTTTAAAGGTGATCATATAGTCCTTATGGAGTAAATGGATTTGCAGTGTCTTTAAACTCTCTTGCTCATGTATTCTGTAACAAATTGTAACAATACTATGTATCCCTTTCACATGTTTAAGTTGATGTTTAAATTTTTTCATCATAAATTTAATTGTAAAAGATTTAATTTTTAGTACTGGTTAAATATTGATATCTTACATCACTTTAAAAATGTCTCAAAAGGAATTTAAGTACTGTAATTATTTATGTATATCATCCATTTAAGGAAAAATACACTAACAAGCTCTTCATTAATATTTTATACTTTTGCTTTTTCTCTGAACTTGTATTTCCTTTTTAAAATTTTAAAATTATATATAACACTCTGGAAGGCCGAGGTAGGATTGCTTGAGGTCAGGAATTCAAGGCCAAGCTGAACAAGAGCAAGACCCCATCTCTATAAAGAAAAAAAAATGTTTTTAAAACAAAACAAAATTATATATAACAAATTATAGTTGTATATATTTATGTGATATAAAGTGATGTTATGATTTTTGAATACAGTGTGGAATGATTAAAGCAAGCTATTTAACCTATCTAAAACCTCAGATATTTGACATTTTTGTGATGAGAAAATTTGAGATTTACTTAGTAATACTGAAATGTACAGTAGTCAATTATTAGCTATAGTCACCATGCTGTGCAAATCTAAAAAAAAAAAAATTCCTTCTATCTAACTGAGGCTTCGTACCCTTAAATTGTCATCTATTCCCATTCCTCCCACCCTCTAGCCTATGGTAACTACCATTCTACTCTCTGCTTCTATGAGTTCAATTGTTTTAGATTCCGTAGTTAAGTGAGAATCCAGTATTAGTCTTTTTGTGTTTGCCTCATTTCACTTAGCATGATGTTCTCCAATTCCATCTATGTTGTCACAAATGACAGAATTTCTTCCTTTTTTAAGGCTGAATAGTATATGCCCCACATTTTCTTTATCCATTCACTTACTGATGGACACTTAGGTTGATTCCGTAACTTGGTTATTGTGAATAGTGCTGCGTTGAACACAGAAGTGCAGACATCTCTTCTATATAGTGATTTCAAATCTTCTGGGTAAATAGCTTGGGTTACCATATGCTGGATCATATGGTAATCTGTTTTTAGTTTTTTGAGGAACTTCCATACAGTTTTCCATAATGGCTGTACTAATTTACATTCCTACTAATAGTGTACAAGGGTTCCCCTTTCTCTACATCCTTGACAATTTTATCTCATCTTTTTTATAATAGCCATGTGCAATAGACCCCCTTATCCTCAGGGGATATGTTCCAAGACCCCTAGTGGATGCCTGAAATAGCAGATAGTACCGAACCCTGTGTATACTATGTTTTTTCCTATACATACATACCTGTGATAAAGTTTAATTTATAAATTAGGCATATTAAGAGATTAATAACAATAACTAATAAAATAGAACAATCAAAACACTCTTCTAATATTTTAAGTAAAATAAGGGTTATTTGAACACAAGCACTATGATACCGCAACAGTTGATGTGATATTGAGGGAACTACTAAGTGACTTTTGGGTGGGGAACATACACAGTATAGGTCCTGGATACAGGGATGATTCACGTCCTGGGCAGGACGGAGTGGGACAGCTCCAGATTTCGTTACACTGTTCAGAAAGATGTGCAATTTAAAACCTATGACTTATTTATTTCTGGAACTTGCCATTTAATATTTTTGGACCAAGACTGACCATAGGTAACTGAAACTGTGGAAAGTGAAACTGGGGTAAGAGGGGCCTATTTCTATTTCATTTTTCTCACAGAATTTTATTCTAATGTAATATATCTTTTGCTCAAAAGTCTTTTACTGGCCAGGTGCGGTGGCTCATGCCTGTAACCCTAGCACTCTGGGAGGCTGAGGTGGGCAGATTGCTCAAGGTCAGGAGTTCAAAATCAGACTGAGCAAGAGCGAGACCCCGTCTCTACTATAAATAGAAAGAAATTAATTGGCCAACTAATATATATAGAAAAAATTAGCCAGGCATGGTGGCTCATGCCTGTAGTCCCAGCTACTCGGGAGGCTGAGGCAACAGGATTGCTTGAGCCCAGGAGTTTGAGGTTGCTGTGAGCTTGGCTGGGCCATGGCACTCACTCTAGCCTGGGCAACAAAGCGAGACTCTGTCTCAAAAAAAAAAAAACACAAAAAAGTCTTTTACTAATCACCTTATTATACTTGTGCTACAAATATGTAATGAATTAAAATTTAAATTTGTTTTATTTCTGATATACATTCTAAATGGTAAAAATTTTTCTTCTGATTTGTGTTATAATTATAATAGTACACACTGATCAAAACAAATATATTAGAGAAACTGGATAAATAAATGTAAAAACATTAAAAAAATTATCTCAGGTAACTGAATTAGGTTCTTCAATTTTATTGATAATAGAAGACTATTAATTACTTGACTTGCAAAAACAATTGTTACCAATCATTAGAATCATTCACTTTCTCAGTTTCTAGAAACTATGCCAAAAGCCTTTATTGAGACTAATCAAAATATCTATTATTGACATTTTAGGCTAGCTTTTATTAAAAAAGAAAAAAAATCTATTAGTTATACCTGTTATACTTTCACTTAAAGCAGGGGTCCTCCAACTTTTTAAACAGGGGGCCAGTTCACTGTCCCTCAGACTGTTGGAGGGCCAGACTATAGTTTAAAAAGCTATGAACAAATTCCTATGCACACTGCACATATCTTATTTTGAAGTAAAAAAACAAATGGGCAAAAACACCTACATGTGGCCCGCAGCCGTAGTTTGAGGACGCCTAATAAAGGCACCTTTTCAACCCAATATACTCAGAAATACTAATTTGGGAAGATTAAAATATGGTTACTGTTATTACACCTGTGATAATGATAACATTTAGAATATGTTTTTAACACTTTTTTTTAACCCCAGCTGTATATTTATTAGGTCATTGAATTTATGTGCTGCTGAAGTGAGCACTATTAAGTCATTGAATTTATGTAAAATGACCACCATATAACCAGTTAGTCAAATCAGACTTACTTTATAAAAATAGTGCAGACTATATTGGAATACAGATTTCATGTTGTGATTTGACAAAATAGATTTTTAACTATGCTAATTAATAACACATGCTGAATCTATAAATACATCACGCAAAAGTTTTATCTGTGGATTTTATTCTTGAAAAAATTTGGTAATCTTGGTTCACATACCAGTTATACTATCAATATATTTAAAAGAACCACAGTCACCAATCTGTATTGCTTTTGCTAATCTCTTTTTTGTTCTCCTGAGACTCTCCCTCAAGGGCTATACACTCTTTGATAATAGGTATGATATAGAAGAGGTGAGGACACAAAATTGTCATTGTTCACCCCTATTCTTCCATATAATGGCATTCAATCTTACCTATTCATATATATGACAAGAAGCCAGAAGGTGTCCCCAACCAGTTTTAGAATTATCTCTTTGTTTCACATTGCATGCCTTACACTAATTCCTACTACACTTTGTAATGGGTAAGGACTGTAACTTTCTCTTTTTTAAATTTTATTATTTATTTATTTATTTTATTATTTTTTTTGAGACAGAGTCTCGCTTTGTTGCCCAGGCTAGAGTGAGTGCCGTGGCCTCAGCCTAGCTCACAGCAACCTCAAACTCCTGGGCTCAAGCAATCCTTCTGCCTCAGCTTCCCAAGTAGCTAGGACTACAGACATGCGCCACCATGCCTGGCTAATTTTTTCTATATATATTAGTTGGCCAATTAATTTCTTTCTATTTATAGTAGAGACGGGGTCTCGCTCTTGCTCAGGCTGGTTTCGAACTCCTGACCTCGAGCAGTCCACCCGCCTTGGCCTCCCAGAGTGCTAGGATTACAGGCGTGAGCTGTAACTTTCTCTTGTTACTGTGAATGCAGTGACATTCTCAGGAATATCATATTTAGAATGAAGAATACATATGTAAATCAAGGATTTGGGAATGAATTCCCTTTAAATTATCCATGACAATGTACTTTGGGAAAGTCTTTATCTCCAAAGTATGCCTATCCCAGTTTAAGACTACTATTGCTTAGATTGTTGAATTCTATTAGTTTTCCACTCTGAGGAAATGGTTATAGATTGCTTCTGGATAGAGCAATTCTAGATGAGTCTTGAGTGTTAACTTGTCTATAGGTCTACTGATTACAAGCTTTCTCTTTTTAAGCAAGGAGGTGGCTATTTATTTTGCCTGGATTGTATCTTCTAGCACTGATAGTGAATTGGGCCCTTAGTATAGTAGGGCTCTAGGGTGGGTATATTATAAAAGTGGAAGTAAGAAGACAAACTTAAGTTTCCCAGTATCTCAGAAGGAGTCAGAAACTGTAGACCATGAATCAAATATTACTAAAAACTTTGTAAGCTTTGTAACATTTTCCCTGTTTATTTTTTGTTGTAAGCTTCTGTTTCTCCATAGTTATTATCAGTAAATCTCTCCAAATAAGAAAAGTCTGAGGCCGGGCGCGGTGGCTCACGCCTGTAATCCTAGCACTCTGGGAGGCCGAGGCGGGCGGATTGCTCGAGGTTGGGAGTTCGAAACCAGCCTGAGCGAGACCCCGTCTCTACTAAAAATAGAAAGAAATTAATTGACCAACTAAAAGTATATATACAAAAAATTAGCCGGGCATGGTGGTGCATGCCTGTAGTCCCAGCTACTTGGGAGGCTGAGACAGGAGGATCACTTGAGCCCAGGAGATTGAGGTTGCTGTGAGCCAGGCTGACGCCACGGCACTCACTCTAGCCTGGGCAACAAAAGTGAGACTCTGTCTCAAAAAAAAAAAAAAAGAAAAAGAAAAGTCTGTGTGTATGTCTGCAAGGACAATAAAGAATGGGGAATCTGAGTAGATGACTTATCCCATGTCCTAGCCAGGCATAGAGAAAAAGAGAAAAACTTCAAATGACAGAAAGTAGGTGAGTTGGTTACACAGGTGCTTTCACTAGTAAAGTATTATTTCTTAAGCTGAGTGGTCTATACATAGATGCCTTTTTGTTGTTTGTGGTTTTTTTTATTTCCCACATTATTATTTTGAACAACTTCAAACTAATAGAAAAGTTATAGTAGTATTTTCTGATTCGGAATCCAGTCAGGGTCATGTGTGGCCTTTAGTTGTTACATCTCCTTAGTCTACTTTAATCTAGAACAGTTCCTCAGCCTTTTCTACCTGTGATGACAATGATACTTATAAAGAGTTAAGCCTAGTTGTTTGCAGAGTGAGCCTCAATTTGTATTTGATTATTTTCTCCTGATTAGATTCAGGTTAAACATTTTTTACAGGATACCACATAAACAATGTATTGTTTTCTCCACCAAAGGAGTGAGGAGGGGAAAAAGTATCTTTTTCAGTGTGTCACACTAGGAATCAATAAATAATACAGAATATTCAGAAGAACTGGACTCTAAAGAAATTGTAGAAATAACTTTGTTTTTCTTATTTTCCTTTCCTGTATGGAGAAGATACAGGATACGTAATAAATCTGAATAAACTTTAAATAGCTATAAATATGCCTAAAATAAAAATTCTAAGTGATAGAGCATTGTGTCATTGCTTACTTGGCAGGATTTTTTTTTTTTTAGTGATGTATAAAATAATGATGACACTTACAATAAGCAGCATCTTAGATTCAATTAGATATAGTTTTAATCCCTTCTGTTTGAGTTACTGCCCTTCTATTGTAGATGGTTAACACTTGCCCCTTGTAGTCATTCAGCAAATATTGTGGTACTAAGAAATACAATCGTGAACAGAGATGGTCTGGTCTGTATTAGTTTCCTATTATTGCTATAACAAATTACCACAAACTTACTGTCTTCAAACAATACAAATTTATTATCTGACATTTTTGGAGGTCTGAATTCTGAAATAGATTTCACTGGGCTCAAGTCAAGGTACTGGCAGGGCTGTATTTCTTCTGGAGCTCTAAGGGAAAATCCATTTCCATGCCTTTTCCACCTTCTAGAGCAGGCGTCCTCAAACTATGGCCTGTGGGCCACATGCGGCCGGCCCAGGACTGTCCTGCTTAGCAGCGGACTCGTCCTGGGCCCACAGTGCACATGTATGGAATGTGCACTGCACTTTCCAACGGCCCTCCTGCGGTCTGAGGGACAGTGAACTGGCCCCCTGTTTAAAAAGTTTGAGGACACCTGTAAGAGGCTGCCTATATTCAATTTTTGGTTCATGACCCTCTACCTCCATCTTCAAAGCTAACAGTGTTGCATCTTCAAATCTTTCTGACTCTCCTGCCTCTCCCTCTTTCGCTTATAAGTACTTTTGTGATAATTACTTTGGGTCCACCCACATAATCCAAGATAATCTTCCCATCTCAAGGTCCTTAAATTAATCACATCTGCAAAGTCCCTTTTACCAAGTATGACAACATTTTCACAGGTTCTGGGGATTAGAATATGGACATCTTTGGGAAGCAGTGTTCTCATGGAGCTTATATTCTAGAAAACCAAATAGGCAATTACTATGAAATCTGCAAAAACTACTCAGAAGAAGCCAGAGAACTAGGATGAGAACAAAGAAATAGTGGATCTCAGAAGCTAAGGGAATGCTGCCAAGAGGGTAGGATAGTGCCCACTGGGTTTTACAATAAGTATTATTGGTCATGTTGGCAAGAGAAATCTCAAGATGTAGTGGAATTTATATTGAATTGTGTTAAAATGTCAAAAGAGAGCTAAGAAAGTAGAGATAGTGACTGTAGGCAGCCCATTCAAAACAGTTGGCTGCGGAGAGGTGTCATTACAGTTATTCTTAGTGGTCTCCCTGTGTGTAAGTCCATTATACAAACCTCTATCAGAAGTAAGTGCATGATAATTTTTTTTAAATTAAAGAAATGTACAGTAGATAACAGTAATTCACAAACATCTATACAGCTTAACCTTGTACTCAAGGCCTTTCACAATATAAATGTATCTACTTTTTTCCATGTCTCTTCTTACTCCCATTGTGCTCTGAGCTGTTCCTATTCCCATTTCTTTATCTTTGTTCATACATCTTTTCCATCTTAGAATGTTTTTTCCAATTTCTTTCTCCTGCTTTCTCAGGAATCCAAGCTCATTTTCTCAACATCCCACAACCTCTCTTTTCTTTGAATTTTAGCAGCATGTCTCATAGATCTTTTTTATTCTTAGTTCCTCATTTTTTCACTCAGATGTGTTATATCAATGAAAACAATCACCTGATTTTCATTAAATTTTGTGACTCTGTACTGTATTTTGAAAGAATTCAGACTGAAAGGAAATGAAAACTAAATAGGTAGTATACTAACATAGGCTTTTATAGCAAGTGAAAGCTGATATATTTTTCTTTTTTCAAAAAATTTTCCTAATATTTTTTAAGCCATACTACATGAACAAGAAATGTAATATTAGGGAGTTTATAATAATTAGGGGTTCTCTGTGTTTACCTTTGCTGGGAAGAGAAAAAGAAATCCTGGTTAATTCTACTTTGTAATGTCACTTTGCAATTTTTCCGGAGTACAATAAAATAAAATGTATGAAATTATTGCAAATCCATTTTGATTAATTTCTTCTCCCTTTTAAGGTTCAAGGGATGTCCTTCATTGCAGCAGTACTCATTCTTAATTTGGAAGAGGCAGATGCCTTCATTGCATTTGCAAATCTCCTGAATAAGCCATGCCAATTGGCCTTTTTTCGTGTGGATCACAGCATGGTATGAACATTTGGAAAGGACTTTGTTTTCCTTTGTTTCTGTAGTCTGAATACCCTCTTAGAGTAAAAAACAATAATTAGAAGACTAAGAAAATCTGATCTAAGATAAACTTTTCATTGTATCATAGTTTATGAATACTTGAAGAGAAGACTCAAAAAGAGGTGCTTAATTAGCAAGATACTCTATTAATGTTTAAGGATTTAACTTCTCAGTTTCTAAAGTATACTCTTTCATGATTTTATTGATTTTTTTTATCTTTAGATGTTGAAATATTTTGCGGCATTTGAAGTGTTCTTTGAAGAAAATCTCTCCAAACTGTTTCTACATTTCAAGTCTTACAGTCTTACACCAGATATATACTTGATAGACTGGTAAGTCATAACATACATAAGATATAACAATAAAATGGAAATAAAGTATAACTTTTCATGTGTTTTAGAAACTAGAGTAAATCTCATGCACAGGATCATCCATATAAAAAACCTTTCCTTGCAAATAGAAAAACTTCCACATTTTTGTGGGTATGCATTTGATTAAGAGCATGGACTCTGGATCGAAATCAGAATCTCTCAGTTTGTGTTTTAGTTTCTTGCCTATAAAATGGAAATAATATCTTTAGAGTTGTGAGGGTGTTTTGCATGGATTATCTCATTCAATGCCTAGCACAGAGTTGCTATTCCTTTATTCTGAACACACAAGAGCTTATGATAGTGTTTCTTTCTGAGGGCTTTATATTATTTCTTTTTATTTTGAGGCTTTGTCCAGCTTTCTAACAGAAGAATGATGACATATTTAGGTGCTAATGTATTTTTATTATCTTTCCAATTCAGGGTCTTCTGTTTTAACTTGGAGGGTTTGCCTAGGAAGCAGTAGCCGGTTGATTATGCTTTAGGTCATTAAATATGAAATGTCAGATTTTGAATCAAAAGTTAGTTTATTATATCTCAAACAAGAAGCAGTACAATTACTCAAACTATGCACCTAAACTATCAACACAGTTTTGCCATCTTTAGCTTGTTTATGCCAACAGCAAAGAAGCCCAGAGAACTAATGGCGATGAAATTGCAAAAGGCATTTTCAACAGCTTGTTGAGAATTAAGTATTTTTCCTTGCAAGAAGTGGTCCAAAGCCCGGAAGAAGTGGTAGTCAGTTGGTGCAAGGTCTGGTGAATATGGCAGATGACAGAGAGTTTCCAAGTCCATCTTCTGTAGTTTGAGCAGCGTTGTTTGTGCGACATGTGGTTGAGCGTTATCTTGCAAGAGCATTGGCCTATCACATTGACCAATCTTGGCTGCTTAATCACAGGCATCCTTATCATTTCATCCAACTGGATGCAGCAGTCATCCACTGTAATTGATTGACCAGGTTTCATGAAGCTGTAGTGGATAATACCAGCACTGGACCATCAAACAGACACCATTAGCTTTCTTTGATGAATATTCAGTTTGGACTATGTTTCTGCACTTCATCTTTATCTAGTCATTGTACCGAACACTTGCGATTATCAAAAAGAATCCATTTTTCATCACAACAATACGGTATATATATATATATTTTTTTGGTATATATTTTTATAGCTAATTTCTTTCTATTTTTTTAGTAGAGACAGGGTCTCACTTTTGCACAGGCTGGTCTCAAACTCCTGAGCTCTGTCTGCCTGCGTCAGCCTCCCAGAGTGCTAGGATTACAGGTGTGAGCCACCGTGCCTGGCCTATCTAGCTTCTTTACCTTGCTGATTTGTTTCAAATGTTCTAATGTTGTTGGAATGGTAACATCAAACCTTGCTGCTAATTCACAAATAGGTTGAGATGGATTCACTTCCACTACAGCTTTCAGCTCATCATTATCCACCTTGGTCTCAGGTCACCCACATGGCTTATTTTCAAGATTAAAATCACCAGAACCAAACTTCTCAAACCATTGACCTATTGTGTGTTCTTTAGCTACGTCTTTCCCAAACAGTTCGTTGATACTTCAAGCTGTATGCGTTGCACTGGTTCCATGAAGGGAACTCATTTGAAAATAACATGAAATTTTGACTTATCCATGGTTTCACAAAAATTGCTCTAGAAAAAAATTTGAAAGATAATCACCAGCCAAAACATGCATTTGAAAGGCTGAGGATATACCTTCACAATAAACATAAAACAAGAAGTGTCAAAGTGAAATGTCAAAGATGTCAACTCAACTGTCAAACTTAGTACTTAAGGAAATCGGACATTTCATACTTAATAACCTAATAGCATGGTGGGTGAATTTTGCCAAAGAAATGGCTCTTAAAATAGGTGATAGGTTGGGCCTGGCTCATGCCTGTAATTCCAGTACATTGGGAGGCTGAGGGGGGAGGATCACTTGAGCCAAGGAGTTTGAGATCAGCCTGGGAAACATAACAAAACACCGTCTCTACAAAAATTTTCACAAAAATTATGAGGTGGAAGGATCATTTGAGCCCGGAATTTGGAGGCTGCAGTGAGCTATGATCACACCACTGCACTCCAGCCTGTGTGACAGAGCAGTACCCCATCTCTGAGAGTGAATGAATGAATGAATAAATAAGTTTCTTTTTTTAAAAAGATAGGTTGCTAAGAATACATATAGCATATTTAAACTTTAAATCTTAATCATTCAAAACCAGTGAGTTTCATGGAAATGGTATTAAGCTTTAATATAGAAAAATAAATAAAGGCATTGATCAAATATGATGTCTTCAGAGTTATTTGGGCCTTTTTTTATTTAGGTTCTTAAAAAAACTTAAGTTACGTATTTTCTTCCATTCCCACTAGGAACATTAAAGTTCTCCTTGGAAAGACCTGAAGATAGTAGGGAAAAAAGGGTTTTTATATCATGGGACCCATAAACCAGATCAAGTACTAATTCTGTGAAGGAGGGGAAAAAAAAAACCTTCAATTCTCAGTCCTGAGGAGTGTGAACATAGGCATATCAAGATCACAATTTAGGTCGGGCGCGGTGGCTCACACCTGTAATCCTAGCACTCTAGGATGCCAAGGCCGGAGGATCACTCGAGGTCAGGAGTTTGAAACCAGCCTGAGCAAGAGCGAGACCCCATCTCTACTAAAAATAGCAAGAAATTAATTGACCAACTAAAAATATATATACAAAAAAAATTAGCTGGGCATGGTGGCACATACCTGTAGTCCCAGCTACTTGGGAGTCTGCGGCAGAAAGGATCGCTTGAGCCCAGGAGTTTGAGGTTGCTGTGAGCTAGGTTAATGCCACAGCATTCTAGTCCATAACAGAGTGAGACTCTGACTCAGAAAAAACCCAAAAAAACAAAAAGATCACAATTTAAGATAGGATGGAACTAATAATGAATGAGTTCTGTGTACTAGAAACTGTGCCTAGGCACTCCTCATACCTATTCTCATTTTTTTTTTTTTTTTTTTTTTTTTTTTGAGACCGAGTCTCACTTTGTTGCCCAGGCTGGAGTGAGTGTGATGACGTCAGCCTAGCTCACAGCAACCTCAAACTCCTGGGCTCAAGCAATCCTACTGCTTCAGCCTCCCGAGTAGCTGGGACTACAGGCATGCACCACCATGCCCGGCTAATTTTTTCTATATATATTAGTTAGCCAATTAATTTCTTTCTATTTATAGTAGAGACGGGGTCTTGATCTTGCTCAGGCTGGTTTCAAACTCCTGACCTTGAGCAATCTGCCCGCCTCAGCCTCCCAGAGTGCTAGGATTACAGGCGTGAGCCACCACACCCAGCCCCTATTCTCATTTTGAACAGTAAGTTAGTATTCTCTATACTACCAAAAGTTGCCTTTTGTTATACAATTAAATATGTGTTTATAATTTAAGAAATAAAAATGGACTTTTGTTTCACTGCCTCTATTGAGTTTATTATATACAAACCCCAGAATAAATAAGTGGCAGTGCTAAAGGGTTTTGTTTTGTTTTTTGTGGGACAGCTTTTAGTTCCATCAAATTCCATTAGCTCTACCTCAAATAAACACACAATCAGTGTAAAAAACTGTACTTTCTTTGCCAAGGCAACTTCAAGACAAGTCCTCTAGCACCTATTCTCCCCACTTCCCCAACCAGAATACCTCCTGAAGCACCACTGGATAAAGAATTACATGGTCAGACACTGTCAGAAAGGATGGGAAAAACCATTTTGGTGATTCTTTTGGAAAGTAAACATGCTTCAAAAGAAGTAGTAAGTAAAGCTTGGTGGAGGGGGAAAAAGAAAACAAAACAATGGAAGCGGAAGAGAAAAGAGAGGTCAGACTTTATGTGTTTATATTAGAATTACTAAAAGATGGTATTTGGGTTCTTTATACAATAAGTAACTTTTATTAAGCATTTCTTATGTGCCAAACACTGTTCTACACACTTTGCATTTATTAACTCCTTTAACTTTCAAAACAATCCTGAGAGGATATTACTATCTTTAGTTTACTAATGAAGAAACGGAGGCACAGTTAGGGTAAATATCTTGCTCAGGGTAATATAAGCAATAAGTGGCAAATTCAAACTCAGGCATTCTGGTTTCAGAGCCCATACCCTTAATTACTAGGTTGTTTTACCACTCTAGTTTGTATTAGGTGTTTCCTCTATGTAAGGTTGTAAATTGACATAATTTTGTTATTTATTAGTTTCTCAGTACACAAGCTTGAGGGAAGAAGCCATGTTTTATTTGCCTTTTTAATTTCTAATTAAGCACTGTTGTTTTCCTATAGAGATGCTTACTGAGTGAATGAATCAATGAATGAAAAACTTCAATGACCATTTCTCCTCCTAATTTTAGGATCTTCACACTATATAGCAAATCACTACCACTTGATCTGGCCTGTCGAGTCTGGGATGTATTTTGCAGAGATGGGGAAGAATTTTTATTTAGGACTGGATTAGGAATCCTCCGATTATATGAAGATATTCTCCTACAGATGGATTTCATTCATATAGCACAGTTTCTAACTAAATTGCCAGAAGATATCACATCAGAAAAGCTGTTCAGCTGTATTGCAGCCATTCAAATGCAGAATAGCACCAAAAAATGGACTCAGGTAGAGTGACATTTTCCTATTGCTAATAGATGTATTAAAATAATTAGTTGCTTAGCCAGGCATCATGGAGTGGTGCACCTGTAGTCCCAGCAAATTTTGAGGCTGAGGTGGGAGGATAGCTTGAGCCCAAGAGTTGGAAGTTGCAGTGAGCTATCATGATGCCACTGCATTCTACCTGGGATGACAGAGTAAGACTCTGTCTCAAAAAAAAGGAAACTAAACCATCCTCTTCACTTCCCCCTTCATATTAAAAATAAATAAATAAATAATTAGTTGCTTCTTATAAAAACATACCTTGATGTCCAAATAATAATAATAAAAAACTTATGTATTTCTCAAATGTTAGCGGTTAAGTTAAAAAATATAATCTTTAAAAAATGATTCTTGACTTTGAAAAAGCAAGAGTTTAAAATAGATTGCCCCCTTTTCTCACCTATTGAAACCTAGGGCTTTATTTTTATGTAAGGCCAGTAATATTTTATGAGTTTAGTGAAGTACAACCATAAAGTCATTTATTTGCCAGAGCAGTTATTACTTTGGTATTTCAAATAGACAAGTTTTATTAAATACCTGCCGTGCACTAAGGGTATGCAGTAGAAAGAAGATATAATGTATGATCCTGGCTTTTTTTTTCTTTTTGAGACAGAGTCTCACTTTGTTGCCCAGGCTAGAGTGCCGTGGCCTCAGCCAAGTTCACAGCAACCTCAAACTCCTGGGCTCAAGCGATCCTACTGCCTCAGCCTCCCGAGTAGCTGGGACTACAGGCATGTGCCACCATGCCTGGCTGTTTTTTTATTATATATATATTAGTTGGCCAATTAATTTCTTTCTGTTTATAGTAGAGATGGGGTCTTGCTCTTGCTCAGGCTGGTTTTGAACTCCTGACCTTGAGCAATCCACCCGCCTCGGCCTCCCAGAGTGCTAGGATTACAGGTGTGAGCCACTGTGCCTGGTCATGATCCTGGTTTTTAGATCCTCAGTTTTATTAGGGAAGCAAACATTAGCAGTCTAAGTTAAGTGACATAAAAGACAGCATTATCACTTGATCTATGAATGATACAGACAATGGGCATTTACTGCTTATGAAAATGCAATGTAAGAATATTGGTCCAAAAAAAATCTTGTTTCCAAATAGTAATTTCAGAGTATTTGGCAATTGATGAAAATTGGAATCTAATGATATTCCATAAAATTGGTATTAAAATAAGAGGATTTAAAAATGGCAACCTTTCAGGGCACAGACAAGTATACTAAAACTTTTTCATCTTTATAAACTATAATTATTTAAATGTCTTTATAATCTAGGTGGTAGTTTTTGAGGATTAATCTTTATTTTATATAATTTCTAGGTCTTTGCATCTGTAATGAAGGATATTAAAGAAGGAGACAAGAATAGTAGTCCTGCTCTGAAAAGCTAATCTTCAAAACTGGCAGACTAATTGAAATATAAAAAAATGTTTTGGGGATAAAAGTTTTTTGTTTCCTTTGTAAAAGGCATGGAAGAAAATCTTGGAGAAATCTGAAGGAATCAAGAGGTGGAAAACTGCCAATTTAAATTCCATGGCTGAAGTAAATGAAATAATAACTTTTTGACAGTATTAATGAACAAATATTTTGTAATTAGAGCCATTTTTCAAAAGAAAAAGTTTAAATGGCTAATTGATACTCCATAGTTTGGAGTGAACAGGTTTAATGCAATAAATTTTTTAAATAGCTTTGGAGATACTTCAAATTTTTACATCTTTTCTTTTGTAACAATTACCACAAGGCACTTTGGAGGTTAGAGTAGTATTGTTAAATACTGCTTTGAGCTCCAGAATACTTTAGTACAGATATTATCTCCAGTTCTGACTTTTTGAAGATATTATAAACCAAGAATAAGCAACTGTGCTTGTAAATTATTTAAGTCACTGAAGATGTTGTCTTCATTCACAGGTTGGGGCAAATTTGGGTTGTCTAGGAACTGGAAATATTGGTGAGAGATTGTTTAGTGTTTGTTTAGGTGTTTTTCCACAGTACTGTGTCTATTTGTTTTTGAAGAGGAATTTATTCTCTTCCTTAAGGAATTCCTATCATTCAAAGAATTTTAGCCTTTCTGGTTCTATTCTAACAAATTGTTCATCTAGTAAGTTAACATTAGGAAAACTAAATAACTGGTAAAAGGAAAGTTCTTTGCACTTTAGTGGACTAAAGACTTGACTTTGGGAGTAAGTCCAAAAATATAAATGAGATTTTACAATGGTAAGAGGAAAAGTAATGGATCCTGAGAGTTCTTAAATAGCATGCTACTTGGTAAGACTTTAAACTTTTTAGTTAAAGTTCCTCCACTGTCTATAGAAACAAAATTTGTTTATTCCAGTTTGAAATTTGAAATCTTAATATGTAGCTAACTTTGTGACTTGTAAAACACTATGCATAATTTTTTCTAATCAGTGGAAATGAGAGCAAAATAAAAAGGTAAAATTAACTTTTTTCTGAACCTAACTTTGATAGCATTGTGGATAAAGAAATTATTAATCACTGGTAAATTGGCATTAAATTTATTATAATATGTTTAATTTTTGAACCTAAACTAAATTACTTGAGTATTATGAGTGATACCTGTATAACATGCCATTTTGTTAATAATTAGATTTATAGTGCATTTTAATGTTGCAGTTTGGTTTGAAACAACATTTAAGCACACTATTTCTGTTAGTGATATATAGTCTTCAAACTAATAAGGCTGAGGTCCTTGTTAGTGTAGTGACTGCCTCTTTAGGAGTATGGGACTAGAGCGTCCCAATATATTTTTTACCCCATGGGTTATTCTAGCTTAAGGACTACTAGTGGAACCCTCAAAGGTAACTCCTGTCATAGGGGTTTACTTCGTGGAAACTGGTGGTATAATAAAATATTGAGAGAGTGTCCACCATCTTAATAGGTTTTAGAATGACCTTTTAACTCTGGTAACTACTTCCTTGGTGTTGGTGTTCCTGATAGAGGGAATGTAACATCTGGCGGTAATCTCACTGAGGTTATACTACCTGCCTAAATTTAATCTTTGATATAATTTGTTTCCTGAGTTGAATCTAAGTTACTGTATTTCTTTTTCATATTTTTTATTGTACAGTTTCTTTATCTTCCAAGTATAAATGTGTATATAAAATGTAAATATAAGAAATTCACTAAAAACCACTTGTAACAATTACTATGTAAATAAAACTTGTAAGCAGAATAATTACTTGAAATGAGTCTTCATTACTTTGGGGATATCTGGTTTATTTAACCACATTTTGAGAACAAAAGGAATTTTTTTTTGGCCAGATTTGTCTTCCAAGGGGTGCACTAAAACTTCAATCTTTTGACACTGGCAGTATTGGCAGCTAAAATATCATACTGTATCTTCCTTTGAACCTGGTCTACAGGTATTATGTAGTTATTCACATGGTCCAGTGTATGGCAAGTTTTTTGTTGTTAAAGCATATTTTCAATTAAAAAAATAACTTCCTAAAATACTCAAGATAATGTGAAATTTAGTATGGTGTTTCACTTGATGATCTGCTTAATATATATCTCTCACTTCATGTTCCTTTAACCCAGGTCTATATTGCATTATTTATATGCAACTAGAAGACTCCAATAAATAACATAGTTTTCTAAAGTCAACTTTTGCTGATTTCTTTTGCATTGATGACCATTATATAATGTTATTGATTTGAGTATATTTGTTTGATCTTATAAAAGTCAGGTAGCATTTGCAAAAGGACATTGAAATATTCAAAGCCTTCTCAGCTTTCACTGTAGCTTAGGAATGAACGCTATTTTTACCTAGAACAGTCAACTTATTAGTCTTTACTATTGGAGGGTGTAATTCTAAAGCATATAATCATGAAATAATTTATCTTCATAATGTCATATGGTTTATTTGGATTTTTCACTTCCTATTTTTGTTTAGATAAAAAAAATTGTTCTCGTATACCAAGAGCATATTCAGATAGCAGGGTTTGGTATGAAAACAGGTGAAAAAGGTATAAGGTAGCTTTGGAAAATCAAGAGTTTAATTTGCCATGACTGACAGTGTCAGACACAAATTCTTAGTTCTGAGAATAAAAAGTGATTTTTGTATTAGATTCATACTGTTTTGCTTTTTTGACAAGCATTGTTTAAAATACAAATTCTCAAATGTGTAAAACCTCATTAATTAGAACTTCACTGCTTCACAACATGTAAAAACTAAAATGAAATCCAAGTTTTAAGCAAGGTTCGAGGAAAACTAGCCACTTCAGAGAGAGAGAACCTTGCCCTTGAAAAAATACTGTTTGTTTACTAAAAGTGTAATTGTAACAGAAGTGGGTTACATGGAAATTTGAATTAATGTAATAACACTTGTTAAACCCTGATTATGTGCCAAGCACTGCCTCTTAGTATTTTGTTAGGTTACATAACACTGTAAGGATTGGGAAGTTAGCAAAATTGCTTTTCTTTCAAAATAGTCTACTGTTCTTATTAATCATCCCCTTGGTCCCAATGGATAAGGTTTTACTATGTCCATTTCATTTTATGGGCTGGATTTATTTTCTAATAAACACTAAGAAGGCAATTGGACCATTAAAGAAATTGCATGGCAAAAGTGTTTCATTTGTTGAATAAGTAAACAGTACTTTAATGATTTTATTAAATTTAAGGTAAAATGACTTTTGTACTATTGCAATGTAAATGATAAACTAATATAGACTTGAGAGAGTATATAAAATTGACAACAGGCCAGGTGCAGTGGTTGACGCTTGTAATCTCAGGACTTTGGGAGAGGCTGAGATGGGAGGATCGCTTGAGGCCAGGAGTTTGAAAACAGCCTGGGCAACACAGTGAGACCCCATCTCTAAAAAAATTTTTATTTATTTATTTATTTATTTATTTATATTTATTTATTTATAAATAACAGATTCTCAATGTGTTGCCCAGGCTAGAGTGAGTGCCGTGGCGTCAGCCTAGCTCACAGCAACCTCAAACTCCTGGGCTCAGGCAATCCTGCTGCCTCAGCCCCGAGTAGCTGGGACTACAGGCATGTGCCACCATGCCCAGCTAATTTTTTCTATATATATTAGTTGGCCAATTAATTTCTATTTATAGTAGAGATGGGGCTCGCTCTTGCTCAGGCTGGTTTCGAACTCCTGACCTTGAGCAATCCGCCTGCCTCAGCCTCCCAGAGTGCTAGGATTACAGACGTGAGCCACCGCACCCGGCAAAAATTTTATTTTAAATTAGCAAGGCATGGTGGTGCACCTGTAGTCCTAGCCACTAGGGAGGGTGAGGCAGGAGGCTCACTTGACCCCAGGAGGTCATGGTTGCAATGAGCAATGTTAGCACTGCTGCTATCCAGCCTGGGTGACAGAGCGAATGTTCTCATTTTTCATCTTTAGACAATACTATACACAGTGGTATTATAAAAGCAGAACGTGAAGCTTTAAATTCTGGTCTAGGCAATACTGACAATCAGTTTTGTGAAGTAGATGATGTATTTTGATTACTACATAAATTCAAAGGCTTTTCATTTTAGCATCGATACTCTTAAGAAACTTTAAAAGGAAATATTTACTTGATTAAAATCTTTGTAGATTGTAAAAGGCCTTGAATGCTTGTGTTTAGACTTTAGTTCCAACTCAGAAGATATATTGGAAAGCATCAGAATGATAGCATTCTGTTTTTAAATTATATCAAGTGATTTTTAAACAAATTGTATCTTTTTAAATAAATCGTATCTCAATAAGTAATACCTCATTGCTTTGTCATAATATTTATTCTGATTTGATTTTTTAAAGCTACTCATCTTAGCCCTTGAAAAATAAACAAGTCTCATCAACTTTTTAATTAGATTACATATTTTGTGAACTTTTAAAAGTGTAAATCCTGTAATTTCCTTGCTCAAGTTCCTCTACTGCTATTCCCCATAATAAAAATCCAAACTCTTTATCCTGGTCTGCAAGGTCCTTTTTGATCTGGTCTCTGCCCATCTTTCCAATTTCAACTACCACTTAAACTTACTTATTCCACTGTAGACACAATGGACTTCTTGCCATTTCTCAATCTGTCAACCTTCTATGTATCTAAAGTCTTTTGCTGTTTCCTTGGAAATGTTCTTTGTCTACGTCTTTATGTGGCTTATATTTATATATCACTGCTTAAAGTCACTTCCTCAGAGGAGGACTTTTCTCTGAACATCTATCCTCTATTCTTGTGACCTTATACTGCTTCATGTTTCCTTCTATTATCTATTACATATCACCAATTGACATTTATATAGTTGTTTTGTCTGTTGTTTCCACTACATTGTAAACTCTGACTTCGGAAATACTGTCTCTCTTATTTACCACTGAATTGCTAGTGCCCAAAATAGTGCCTGGCACTACCCTATGATATGGATGACTGGAGTGTTTTTATTTTGGTCAATTTCTCACTTATCTTTCATTAAAATTGTTCTATCATAGAGATTATGCAACTGCTCAGAAACTCAAATTACTTCTAGTTCACTCAGAAACTTTAAAGGTTGTATAGAAGAGAAAAAAATAGTAAAGGTCAGGAATAGGGATATCAGGAGTATGTGGAGTCAGAAAAACGAGTATTTCCATAAAGGAGTGATGAATATTGTTATGTTGCAATGAGGTTGAAATAAGAACTGAGAGCTGTCCATTAAGTTTAGCAACATGGAGGCCATTGAACTTTAGTGGGCTACATTGGTGTGTTGAGTGTGGCAACCAGACAGATGGTTGAAAATCAGTGGGAGGCAAAGAATTAAAGACTGATAATGTAGATAATTCTAAAGTAAGCTCTAAAAGGGAAGAGAGAACTGATAATAGTGAGGAAAAAAGTTTCCTCCAGTCCTTTTCTTTTTTAAGATGGGAGAGCTTTAAGTATTTGAATACTAATGGAAAGGATTCAGTGGAAGTTTAAGAAACAAAGAGACAATGGAATACTGTGTAATGTAAGATTCCTAAGTAGGCTGTAGGGAGTTTGAATCCATAGCTAACTTGAGGGAAAGTGGAAAAGGTATTAGAGATGCAGGTAAGTTTCTAAGTTTGATGTTGGGAAGTTGAAAGAGGAATTTTGTCTTGTAGCTATTGTTTACTTTGTGAGGAATGCCAGAAGTGGGCCATTTAGTATAAGCAAGAAGGAACAATGGTTTGGTTTTGACTTATATGATTGGGTGGATGGTGAAGCCATTAACATGAAAAGGATTCTGTAAGTGGAAGACTTTTTGTGTGGGTAGGAAAAAAAGACTTATAACATCTTACTTAGAAGAAAATCCCATTGCCTCATCTAGTGGGTCTATCTGACTTTTTGTGCCACTTCCCCTTGCTAACTTTGCTTCAGTCATACCAGCCTTCTCTCTGATACTCAAACACGCCCAAGCTTATTCCTGTTTTAGTCTCTTTGCACTAGCCGTAGTTTCTGCTTGGATACCTCGTTCCCTGGCTGGCTGGCTGGCTTGACATTTGGTTCTATGCTTAAGTGTCTGCCACTTCTTCAGATACTCAGTCACTCTCACACCATCCTATTCTAATACTTTGCAGAGTACTTTTCCTTCCCAATCTCCCTCTTCCTTTCCCCAACTCCTGGAACATAAGTTCCATATCAACAGGGATTTAGTCTGTCTCTTTCATTGCTGTACAGCATCTATAACAGTTCCTGGTACCAAGGAGACATTTAAATGCAGGCCCTTAAATAAAAGTGAATAAACAAAAGTTTTTTCACAGCCACTCAGGGGAGGGTCTGCAGAATGGCAAAAATATATCAGGAAATGTACCAGCACACTTTTATTAGCAAGCACGGGGCCAGCTGTTAGTTGAGATGTCTGTCCTTTGAGAATCATGAAATTGCTTTGCACTCCATCTCCTATGTTTGGACAAATCTCTCCATTCTCCCTCTGGGGAATTATAAGAGAAATTGTTGGCTGTTGGCCTTAAGCTGATCATTGGAGCCTGTAGAGCAGATGCTGCAAGGAACAAAGTATACAGAGAAAAGCAATGAATGGAGGAAAAATCTTGGAAGGTGGGCCACAACTGAGTTCAAAAAAAGGGACAGGAAGATTTTCAGCGTATTAGAGGAAAACCCCATAAAAAGCAGTGTTTCAACAATCAAAGGGAAAGAAATTTTGGAGGATATGTTGGTGAAGGTCAAAAACCTTCAGTTCACGCCTGTAATCCTAGCACTCTGGGAGGCTGAGGCAGGCGGATTGCGGTCAGGTGTTCAAAACCAGCCAGAGCAAGAAAGATACCCCATCTCTACTAAATATAGAAAGAAATTAATTGGCCAACTAAAAAACATATAGAAAAAATTAGGAGGCGTGGTGGTGCATGCCTGTAGTTCCAGCTACTCGGGAAGCTGAGGCAGGAGGATTGCTTGAGCCCTGGAGTTTGAGGTTGCTGTGAGCTAGGCTGATGCCACAGCACTCCAGCCTGGGCAACAAAGTGAGACTCTGTCTCAAAAAAAAAAAAAAAAAAAAAAAACCTCAGTAAAGTGAGACAGATGGTTATTGTCTTAGATTAGGAGGCAGGATTTAAGAGTAGCTTTTATTAGAGGCTACATTTATCTTGAAATAATATTGAACTAGGAGTGAAAATACCAAGATTTGACTCCTGTGTTTTAAAAGTAAATGTAGGCCTGGAGAAATCAATTTAGCCTCTCTGAGCATCGCTTTTCTGACCTGTAATATAGGAATAACAATCTGCTATGCTAATTTTAGAGTGTCAACAAGGTTGCTGAAGATGGCTATAATGGATGTGCATTGTATACTCTTAAATTTTGTACAGATAAAATCATTAAAGTTGTGGGAGTCAGAATGAAGGAAAGATGGCAGGCATGTATACCATAAATTCTGAGAAACTGGTAGTGGCATGGGGAGAGGGAGACAAAGGAAATAGTTGAAAAGGATTGCAGACTAGAAAAGGTGGAAAGCTGAAGTGAAAACTAAACATAAGGCCCCACTCCTTCCTTCAGCGCCCACTTGAATTATTGATATATATGAATCCTGAATCTCTTCTGCTGGACACTTCACTTGGTTTATCACTGCTTTCAGCTCACTCTTATCCTGAACAACTTTCTGGAACCCTGCTATAATCTTAATTTCCTGTTCTTTCTCTCCCATCCTGCCCATACATCGGGGTATTCTCATTATGTGAACTTATGGCGAGGCTAGGTAGCAATATTTCTGTTTCGGACGTCTCACCTGGAAACTGATACACATCTTTTCCACTAAAGGATCGTCAGTTGGGGGGTGTTCAATCACATCAGTCACTGTGAGAAGGTGCCTAGCAACTTGTTACAAGTGCTATTAGCGTAGTTCGAAACCATCATCAGACACGTGAGGAAACTGGACCCTCACGGTCGGCAGACTCGCCAATATCACAGCGATAGTTAAATGCCGAATTCTGGAGCAGAATCCAGTTTCCCTAAGATAGATTTCCAGGTAAACGCTTACCGTCGCCACAGGTAGGTCCTGAAAAAAACCGCAAACTGCTGCAAATCTCGCGCCGCAGGGGACAGAGGGCGGACGGGTTGCGTGAGGTATCGCGAGAAGACGGCGTTTTCCCGCGAAGGAGAAGCGCGCGTTTTTCCCTGGCGGGGTATTGGTGAGAGGCTTGAGCCGGCTGTGGCTGTGAGGAATTAGAGCGCGGTGTTGCAGGCTCCGAGACAAGGCGACCCGGTTGCCGGGTGAGTGTCCAGACATGCCAGCGGAGCGGCCCGCGAGCAGCGGCGGTGAGTGAGAACCTCTCCCGGGCGCGGGCTGAGGCGTTCGGGGCTGGGGTGGGCAGCATGGAGGCTGTGGCGGAGCTTGGAGGAGGGAGCCGAGCCCGGGCAGAGACTAAGGAGGAAAGGATGGGCGAGAAGCTGTGGGGAGGTGAGTGGAGGACACCCCGGAGTCGCACATATTTGCATGATATGTAAGGTTTTACACAGGGAGCTGCATCTTCCGTGGCATCCCGATTTGTAAATCTGGGGTCCAGGAAACTTGAGGTTGTGAAGACCTAGGATGTCTTCTGAGAGGTGATGCTGGCGACCCTGGAGGTCTTCGACTTTTCCTTCAAATGCATCTCGGAAGGGAGAGAAGTTGTTTATTGTCGGAGTTGAGTAGTTGGTAATTTCTTAAAACTACAATTTGAAAGCCTTCTCCCTTCTTAGGGCCCCCAGCCTCAGAAATGGTTGAACAACCGGAGGCTGCCGTGATTACCCCAGCCATGCTAGAAGAGGAAGAACAGCTTGAGGCCGCTGGACTTGAGAGAGAGCGGAAGATGCTAGAAAAGGTAATTTAGGAATGAAGTTCATAACCACATGCTTTCTCGGAGGTGTGGTTTGTGTTCTTCAGTTTGCTATTGGCTTTTCCATAAACTTTAAAACAGCTTTGTTATTTGTCTTTTTCGTATGTTTGCAGATACTATCTTTGAGAAACCTTTGCATGTGCTTTGAATGATTTGCTTCTATGAGATGTAGTCTTGGTATTATAACGTGGTCTCATCTTTTAAGTGAGCATTTCAAGTTGCTTCTTTACAATTCTTTCAGAGTCTGTAGTGAATTTTTTCCTTTGTCATCCTTTTTTTTCTTTTTAAATTAGTACTATGGATGTATGCATGGTGGCAAAAATTAATCTCTAAAACTTCTAGGAATTTTATACTAAACTGAGGGCAGTAGAAGTTAGTATCAGTCAGAGGCTGGATGATTTCCTTCCTTTTTAGTGCTGTTTTCCACCTAAGTGATCCACTTGCTTTTTGTTTTCTTTTTTGGTTTCTTGACCTATCTTTTGCTAAATAAGATTCTTTAGCTAAAAATGTGGTGTATTTTTTTCAGTGAAAAATTACTATTTTGTAAATTACTAAAAGCACCTTTTAACCGGAAAAATTCAATTCTTGTGAAGTATGTTGTAAAGTCCCTCCCTGCTGCTTAATTGTTGAATATTCAAGGAAAAGAATGGTAGTCCTCTCTTAAGTACTTCCTAATAAGTGATTTTCTTGTGCTGTATTAATTTATTTAGCACTACCAATGTTATGATACAGGTTCTTATTATTATCCCCATTTACAAACTGAGGCAGTCAGTCACACAGTAAGTGTGGGAGTCAAATTTGAACTTGAGCTGTCTCCAGAATTTCTTTCCTTAACTACTATGCCTCTCTCAGGAAGTGCACATTAATTTAATATTGAATCAAGTCAACATGATTATAAAAACCACTTAAGTTGGGAAATAATGCACTCCCAAAACAATTAATGAATCAGTTCTTTCTCTGCTATTTTATATCAACAATAATGATTTGTCAGCATTGTTAGTGCTTCATGAGCATTTATTACGAGTCATGTATTGTTCTGAATGCTTTATATATATTTACTCATTGAATCCTCAGCTATTCTATGAAGCAGATACTGTTATTAAACTCATTACTATTACTGTTGTTAAACTTACTAGTTTAATTACTAGTGTAACTATCACTACTGAAGTAGTCTATGAATTAGCTTCTATTAGACACCTTATTTTGCAGATGAGGAAACTTAAGCACATACAGATTTCCAGGGGTCCTACAGCTAGTAAATGGCAGAACGAACATTTCAGGGTAGACCATGTGGTTCCAGAATTCACAGTTTTTAACTACCTTGCTACACTTTGACTCCAATAATACTAGTTCTGTTATTACTGATTATCTATTATTGATCAAAATCTGTTAAGGTAATATGTTAACAAGTTTTTTTTTAAGTCACATTAACTCATTTTGCTTTAGGGAAGATATGAATTAATAGAATTGAGAAGTCTGACTTGAACCACCTTTCCTCATTATTTGAATTCCCATAGTACTTTGTTTATTATACAGTACTTATCATTATTAAATAACTAATGATAACTACTTATCATTAGTACTTATGATAAGTACTAAATATTTGATTGTCATTTTGTTTCTTGAGAATGCATCACTTCCTGTTTGTTTTTGTAGGCTGCACACCTAGCATACAGTAGGCAATCAATAAATGTTTATTGACTAGCTATGATAAAAATATTTTATAATATAATATGAGATTATATAAATATAATAAAATAAATAAGATTACTAGCTATGTAACTAGGTGAATTGTAAAGTATAGATCCTGGGCAAGTGCGCAGAATAGGATCAACTTCAAAGGTTGTGAGAGTGATACAATAATCTTCACCTTGAACAGTGTATCTTCAGTTTTATCCTGTTTCTTCATATACCCATGAAGTGTGTTGAGTAGGGAAATACCCTTTAAAGAAAGATATGCCTGAGTATGACTATTTCCAAAAGTTCAAGTGAAGAAATAAGTATTTTCACATTTAAAAAAGATGTTAAAATATATAGTATTGTATGTATTTGCTGATGAAAGAACCAGTAATCAAAATGATTTGTTAGTGACATTTTAAATCTTATGAACAAACATTTTGCAATCAGTCCTAAATTTATTGGAGTTGTTATTGTTGAAGGTTAAGTATGGCATTATTAGCTTTTATTTTAATAGTTATACGTCATAGAATTTAAAGAGTAATTTTTAATCCATGTTCAGTCCTTTCATTAAAAAATTATATAGCTATTATCAGTCTTCCTAATACAAGTGGGTCATTTGCTAGAGCATAATATTGTGATCCGTTATTAGATTTTTTTATGTACAGGTATTGAAAGATTTTTGATTTTTTGCTTTTGATCCCCATAAAAAGTGACTGCCTAGGTGATTCTAGAAATTTCTAAGAGTAATTTTCAAAGTCTCTCCGTATTTGAGATTAATAAACATATCTTTGGAGGCTAAAAAACTCACTATACAAAAGTAAAAATTTCTTTTCTTTTGGGAGAATACAGTATTTATGGGCATATATTTAAAATTAAGAGAGGAAGAGCTAGCTTAAGTTCCTTAATGAGAAGCAATTTACTTTACTTTGTGAGGAGCCTGGAGAATGACTTTGACTTTCATTCCTTGCAGTTAATTTTCTTTGACTTTACACTTGCATTTGCTTTTAAAAGAAGTCATTGTTTGTGAAATAGGGGGAAGTGGAAAGGTTGGAGTGCAGAGATTTCTTAGGTAAGAGGAAAATAGATCTTAGTGTATGTAGGCTAAAGTAGAACTTTGTCTCTCAAAAATTCTGGGATTGGTATTAGGAGAGATAATGAGAAATGTCTACCCTCAGTACCTATTGGTATACTCACCCCTGCAGTCTAGCAACCAAGAAATAGTTTCCTGCCAGGCACTCAGTGCTTTCCATAGAGGGAGCTGCAATTTACCATCAATTAGCCATTGGTATGGTATTATTCTGATTATATTTTATATTTTTGTTCCATGATGGCATCTTAAAGCTTTAATTACTTTAAATATACATGCTAATTTATTCTGAACAGGATTTAAGGTAGCAGCTATATATAAATTAAACTCCAAATATATTAACTAAACTTAAATTTAAAAACTTAAAAATTTAATAATCTATGAAGTTAAGTAATTTTCATCTCCCTATTTATAACATTCACCTCATTCATTGCCTGTTGTAATCACAGTAGTATATTGGTAATAGTAAAAGAAAGTCTGTTCTAAAAGTACTGAAAATAAGAGTTCAAGAAGATGTTAACAGGGATTAGCTACATAGTAGGGATTATGGGTTATTTGTATATTTTTGACATTTAATTTTTCTGTAATGTGCATGTATTACTTAGATTTATTCTTAGATACCTTATTATATTTTTGGAGAAAGTGATGATGAAATATCTAGGAAAATACAAGCCATTATACATGATGTTTTAGATCATGTTTTAAATCTTGACAAGCTGGAACAGCTAAGCAACTAACATATTTATAATAAGCAAGGTGCTGGGATGTTATTAGAATATAAAAATGAGCTCATATCCTTCCATTTCAAGCCGGCTTTATATTCTCAGCTGCTTTCCTCTAACTTGAAGCCACCAATTATGGGGTAAAGGGACAGTTAAGTTTTTTGGTTGACTACTTTCCTGTTTTTTCATTCATATTGGTTGAAAAGTAGGTGGCATGGTTTGATTGAAAAGTAATTGGCATGGTTTAGCTGAAAAAGTAAAATACTAAAAATCTTGTACTAAACAGCTGGATAACCTTGATAAATCAAGAGTTTCTGTAAACTTTATAAAATGAGAGAGAGATGCTACTTAATCTTTAAAGGTCTTTTTCATTCTAAAGTTACTTAAGTATGATTTTTAATGCTGTTGCGGAGGCCAGTATTGCTTCATGCAGGAACTTCTAAAGTAACTGGTGAAACTCTTGAGCTCTTCCGCTCATTTATCCTTCAGACAGCTCAGATACCTATTTCCTGAATTCTGACATCTCCAATCTTAGTAATTCTTTGGATTTTTCAGGATTTAGTTAGTGATATAGACAATATACAGTTAAGTACCAAGTATATATGTCTTTTAATGCCTTTTGTTTTCTAATATTACAGTAATGTCATCTCACCTGTAGTATGTCAAATTTCCTGTGTTCTTTCACCCAGTACTTTGTGTATTGTTGTCATACATGTTTGATGATTAACTAGGCTGAATTGGTGTTAGGGAATTTGCATTTAAGGAGTTAATCTTGGCTAAATATGTTTTAATTGTTAAGATAAATTATATTGACAGTATTTTTCCAAAATATTCAGGCCAGTCGTGGTGGCTCAGGCCTGTAATCCTAGCACTCTGGGAGGCTGAGGTGGGTGGATTGCTCGAGGTCAGGAGTTCAAAACCAGCCTGAGCAAGAGCGAGACCCCCATCTCTACTATAAATACAAAGAAATTAATTGGCTAACTAATATATAGAGAAAAAATTAGCCAAGCATGGTGGCGCATGCCTGTAGTCCCAGCTACTCGGGAGGCTGAGGCAGGAGGATTGCTTGAGCCCAGGAGTTTGAGGTTGCTGTGAGCTAGGCTGACGCCACGGCACTCACTATAGCCTGGGCAACAAAGTGAGACTCTGTCTCAAAAAAAACAAAACAAAACAAAATATTCTATGCAAATACACTGGCAGGTAGTTCTCAATCCTGGATGCATATTAGGATCACTTATTTCTTTTTCTTAACCACCTGTATCTTCATTTAAATTGCATGCTCGCACTCATGCACATACGTACTCTTAGTAGTTGCTAGTTGGTGAGGTTTGCATGTATTTAGCTTTGGTAGATGAATTCAGCTTTCACTTGACCCACTTCAACCCACTGTAATGCTTTTCATTAAATTCAGCTTATACTGGTTTGGCCAATTATGAGCTGGATTTGGCTTACACCTGTTTATGTGAATAAAGTTTTTCTTCTTCTTCTTCTTTCTTTTTTTTTTTTTTTTGAGACAGAGTCTTGCTCTGTCACCCAGGCTGGAGTGCAGCGGTGTCATCATAGCTCACTGTAACCTCAAACTCCTGGGCTCACGCTTCCTCTTGCCTCAGCCTCCCGAGTAGCTGGTACTACAGACCTGCACCACCATGCCTAGCTATTTTTTTCTATTTTTGGTAGAGACAGGGTCTTGCTCTTGCTCAGGCTGGTCTCAAACTCCTGATCTCAAGTGATTCTCCTGCCTCAGCCTCCCATGAATAAAGGTTTACTGAAATATAACCATACTCATTTGTTTACATTTTAGTCTATGACTTGTTATGCTACAAAGATAGAATTGAATATGCAACAGAGACCTTATGCTGCTCAAATATAAAATATTTACTATCTGACCCTTTACAGAAACATTTATGTACCACTGAACTATACAATTTATTTGTTATTTATGTTTTCTATCCTGTGCTCTATGGTATTCTTTTAAAATATTTGACTTTTTTGTCAATGTGAATTGAGGGAATGTTCTTCCTCAGCCACTAGACAGGCTATTGTAGACTTAGAAATTACTCAATAAATACATGTTGTATAAAAGTAATATGGAAAGCAGAGGTGTGTAATTAGAAGGTATACAGAAATGGAAGATAAAACTGAAAATAACAGCTAAAGGCTGGGACACAGCTCTGCCGCACACAGTACTGGAGGAGGAGGAGATTAAGCTTGTAAGAAATCATCAGTAGATTTAGCATATTGAATATTTTGACAATACAGGTTTAAATTCTAAAAATAGATGTTCTAGTCCCTGGCCAGTGAGATAAAAACTGGTATATAAATATTTTATTTTCTGAAAGCATTTGGTTGTTAAAAACTTAAATCCAACTTGATTTATATTTTTTAAATGGACCTTTTGACTCAGTAGATGCCAGGAACCATATGTCTGTCTGATATCTGAAGTTATAATATTTTGATATCCAAACTACATCTACCAGATTGCCTGTTGCACTGAAGAATAATTTTTCCCCATTATTCTGGTTTTTGGTTTGAAAAATAAAATGTTCTTTAGTAAATGAATTTAATCTTATAAGATTTTTTTAATCCCATTAATTATAGGAGATATTGTAAACCCAAAGAGTGATTGTTCAGCCATTAAACCTTATAAAAAATCATTGTATATCAGAAAACTAGTACTTATGGAAATTTTCTCTTTGGATAGGCTCGCATGACTTGGGATAGAGAGTCCACAGAAATTCGGTACCGTAGACTTCAACATTTGCTTGAAAAAAGCAATATCTACTCCAAATTTTTATTGACTAAAATGGAACAGCAACAATTAGAGGTATGTATATGTGATTGGCTATAGCTAACAGCTTAAAAAAATAATTTTAAAATAGCTTTATAGAGGTATAAATTATATACAATAAAATGCACGGATTTTAGTTTATGGTTTGATGAATTTTGACCTTTTGAATGTGTAAACCTGTGTAATGACCAGCACAATCAAGATAAAATACATTTCCGTCACTCCAGAAAGTTCTCTGGTGCTGGCTCTGATCCCCATGCCTAACCTCCAGCAACCACTTGATCTTATTTTTGTCACTATAGGTCAGTATTGTTTTTTACTGAATGTTCTATGAATAGGATCATATGGTATTGTGATACTGTGAAACGCTTATTTTGTCTTCATCCCCATTTCCTGGTATAGAACTCTTAAAATCCTTGGAGTCATCAAAGTAATAGTGCCTTTTTGTATGCTAATGATTAGCCTTTTTGTATGCTAATGATTGGCCGATGGCTGGCAGCTCCCTAGGTAGCTTCAGTCTGGGAACTGGTCACCAAAAAACCTAGGCTGGATTACAGGATTGGGACTTTCAGGCCTACCCCCAACCTCTGGGGAGTTGAGATAGGCTGAAAGCTTATCACCAGAGGCCAATGATTGAATCAGTCATGCCTGTGTAAGGAAGCCTCTATAAAGACCCGAAGGGACAGGTTTCATAGCTCTTCTGTTAGCTGAATATGTGTAGGTTTCTGGAGGGTGGCTCATGGAGAGGACAGGGAAGCTCCATACTCCTTTGCCCATATGTTGCCCTAAGCATCTTTTCCTCTGATGTTCTTGGTATCCTTTGTTATACCCTTTGTAATAAAGCAGTAAACATAAGTAACTGTTTCCCTGAGTTCTGTGAGTCCATCTAGCAAATTAATCTAACCTGAAGAGGGAGTTGTGGGAACCCTGATTAATAGCTGATTGGTCAGAAGCACAACTAAAACAACCTGGGGCTTGCAGTTGGCCTGTGAAGTCAGGAGGATGAGGGGGTGGCAGTCCTGGGGACTGAGCCCTCAACCTATGGAATCTGACACTATCTCCTGACAGATAATGTCAGAATTAAATGGAATTAGAGGATACCCAGCTGGTGTCCATTGCAAAGTTAATTGCTTTGTGTGTAAGGAAAACCTCTGTACAATGCATCAGGAAATCTTTTGTGTTGATTCTTCACTGGGAGTGTAAGGAGAAACTGGTTTTTTCCCTCAATATTCTTAAAGATACGCACTCTTTTTGTGTCTTGTTTCTTTGTGTCTTTTTGTGTCTTGTTTCTCAAAAATACACTTGCTGAGTGTATTTTTGAGATTCACTCATCTTATGTTTATCGGTAGGTCATTCTTTTTATTCCTGAGAGCATTCCATTTTTTAAATATAGCATTATTAAGGTATAATTGACATATACTAAACTGCACATTTAAAATGTACAATTTTGGCCGAGTGCGGTGGCTCACACCTGTAATCCTAGCACTCTGGGAGGTTGAGGTGGGCGGATTGCTCAAGGTCAGGAGCTCAGCCTGAGCAAGAGCGAGACCCTGTCTCTACTAAAAATAGAAAGAAATTAATTGGCCAACTAAAAATATATAGAAAAAAAAAATTAGCTGGGCATGGTGGCACATGCCTATAGTCCCAGCTACTTGGGAGGCTGAGGCAGGAGGATGGCTTGAGCCCAGGAGTTTGAGGTTGCTGTGAGCTATGCTGATGCATCAGCACTCTAGCCCAGGCAACAGAGTGAGACTCTGTCTCAAAAAAGTAAAATAAAATAAAATACAATGTACAATTTTATAAATTTTGATGCATGGATACTGAAGCCACCAGTCATGAAAATAAGCATACCCATCTCTAAAGGAATCTTCTTGCCAATTTTTTCCTTCAGTTTTTTTTTTTTTTACTCTTTTTTTATCCCACTCATAGCATGTTGGTGAGATCTTCCTGCCCTTTAAAAAAAGACGTGTTTTTTTGTTGTTTTTTTAAAATTTTTAATTTTGTTTTTAGATAGGGTTTTGCTCTGTTTTGCAGGCTGGGGTGCAGTGGCTCAGTCATAGCTCACTGTAACCTCACATTCTTGGGCTCAAGTGATCCTGCCTCAGCCTACTTCCTGCCCATTTTTAATTCTTCTCCCTCATCCCTCCCTCCCTTCTTTCTGTTTACATCCTCAGATAGACACTGATCTGTTTTGTTATTACAGATTAATTTGCATATTCTGTTAATGATAGGTTTTTTTAGCTTTCATATGTCTGGATCTGGAAGTCTTTGTTTAAACTGTTGTCTTGGTCTGTCACCCCCAGGTAGGGTAGAGTACAGTGGTGTCATCATAGCTCACTGCAACCTCAAACTCCTGGGCTCAAGCGATCTTCCTGCCTCAGCATTCTGAGTAGCTGGGACTACAGGTGCATACCATCACACCTGGCTAAATTTTCTATTTTTGGTAGAGATGGGACTACAGGTGCATACCGTCACACCTGGCTAAATTTTCTATTTTTGGTAGAGATGGGGTCTTGCTCAGGCTGGTCTCAAACTCCTGGTCTCAAGTGATATTCCCACTTTGGCCTCCCATAGTGCTAGATTATAAGTGTGAGCTGCCACACCTGGCCTGCCTTCATTTTTGAAAGATATTTTTACTGGGTAAAGAGTTTTTTTCTTCACTGCTTTTTATCTTGAAAACTAACAATGTTTCACTGCCTTCTAGCCTATGTTGTTTCTGACCAAATGCCTGAGAACATCTCTAAGATTAACCAGTTTGGCTGCCTACCTCAATGTCATTGCCTTTCAGACTTCTTTCCTGATGAGTTTCCTGCCTTTGGGCTTTACCCTCGCCGTTTTCTACCTGGAACCCCCTTCTCCTAGGTAACTGCATGGCTGGTTTCATCATCTTCAAACCTTGGCTTAAACGTTTTCTAGGTGAGGCCTGCCCTCACAACCTTAATAAAGTTGCTAACACTCCTTGCTTGCTCTGTTCTTACCGTTACACTTATCATCTAACATATTATATCATTTATTGTATGTGTTGTTTGTCTTTTCACTAGAATGTAAGATTTAAAAACTTGTGCAAATTGAGAGAATATGATAAATCCCTGTGTCCCTGTCAGTCACATTTAACAATTATCAGTTGAGATTCTGCTACATTTGTCAAATCCCCTTTTTCCTTTGTTTGAAGCCTTTTTAATCCTTAACATGGTATATTAAAACAAATGGAAAAACACAAAACATCTAGCTTAATCAATTATAAGGCAAATACTCTTTTTACCACCTCTCAGAAATGGTTTGAATCCTTTTTTTGTGTCTTGCTTTTAAAATGTGTTAGGGTACATCTGTAACAGCTTTTAGTCTAAGAATAACTCGGTTCCCCTTCTGAATGCTCAGTGCCCTGTACATTAGGAGGACTTTCATATTCTGGCTGAGGGAATGTGAACTATTCCTTATTCCTGACCCCTTAGAGCTTGGGAGATTGTTCTACCTGCTTCTTTCTGGTGTCTCTTCTCCTGGCCTTGGTATCCTTACATTCACATATTTACTAGTACTCAGCTTGAGAGAGAGAGACCACAGCTTTCTTTGTACAGCTCTGTCCTCTTTGGTACTCGACCTTGACCGTGGGAATGTCAGCTGCTCTTAAGTTTTGAATTCTGTCTCTTCAACTTAGAGAGATTGTTGGACTCTGTTTGGATTCTCCCTCCATTATTTGTGCTTGGAAATTGCACTCATGCAGTAAGCTGGGCAATCAGAAGATTGACTTCATTTGTTTCCCTTTTGCCAGTGTTCGCTGTCCTTTTCTGCTGAAAACTATTGTTTAATAAATTTTATCTAGATTTTAATTTAATACGGGGGGGGCAAAATCTTTTCCCTCTTACTCCTTAAAAGCTTGAAGAAAAGTTCTTCCTTGTTTTTTTAATTATGATATACCATACTTTCTTCATTGTAAATATAAGTTATTTGAGAGTTGAGACACTAAGAAAAATTACTTTGCAGGAACAGAAGAAGAAAGAGAAGTTGGAGAGAAAAAAGGAATCTTTAAAAGTTACAAAGGTAATATAGCAAGCCAGAATATTTTTTATGTTAATTAAATATCAAATGAATTCTTTTGTATTCTTCTGACTTTTTGATCATTTAATTTTAATTTACTTTATTTGATAACCTATCTTTGTGACAAGCTACATAGAAATGTGTAAGATCTATTTCTCTGTATTGAAGAGAGGGAAGGAGAGCCAAACTATGACCCTTTCAGTTTCTTTTTCTGTGGACTATTTTTCATAATGACAAAATTTGACTTTTTTATTTGGAAAGAATCTGCAAATCTTATACTTCAAGGCATTTTATAAGTGGCCAGGTTTTTGGAGCCCATAATGAACAGTTAGGTGCTGATGAAAAGAGAAATAATAAAGGTCACGTTTATTGAGAATTTACTATTATGTATCAGGTATTCTATATATCTTCTCTTAGTTAATTCTTAAAACAGATCTGTTAGGTAGAGATTCTGTTATTTATTCCATTTTACATATAAAGAAGCTGATGAAGGAGATAAAGTATAGTCGGTCCTCATTATTCATAGGCTCTGTATTTGTGAATTTGCCTACTGACTAACATTTATGTGTAACCCCAAAATTAATATTCCTGGAGCTTTTGTGATCATTTACAGACATGCTTATGTGCAGAGTGGCAGAAAGTTTGAATCTTCCAATGTATATACTCCCAGTAGAGGTCAAACGTGGGGTGCTCTGCCATTAGCTCTCATTCATACCTCAAACATATATTATTTTCATGGTCTATTTAGCACTGTGCATTTTTGTGCTTTTTGTTTTGTTTTGTTTGAGACAGGCTCTTGCTTTGTTGCTTTGGCTAGAGTGTGGTGGCACAATCATAGCTCACTGCAATCTCAAACTCCTGGGCTCAGCCAATCTTCTCGCCTCAACCTCTGAAAGTGCTGGGATTACAAGTGTGAGCCACGGTTCCCAGCCACATTTTGTGTTTTTTGTTGGTGATTTTGCTGTTTAAAATGGCCCCCAACTGTTGTGCTAAAGTGCTAGCTAGTGTTTACAAGTAACAAGAAGGCTGTAATTTGCCTAATGGAGGAAAAATGAGTGTTAGATGAACTTCAGTTAGGCACAAGTTATAATGGTATTGGCCCTGAGTTCGGTATTAACATATAAATTAAATAAAGTGTGTTTAACAGCAAACACACAGACAATAGAGTTATAGATTGATTAATGAAAATGTTGCAGCCAGAGTCTTACAGGGACATAAATTTGTATTTTTCCTAGGGGCAATGATTTAATGTTGTCATAGGGACTTTATAGAACATAAGTACTGCAGATAATGAGAGTTGACTATAACTTGCTTAAAGGTCACCTAATCTAATAATTAATGCTAGGATTTGAATCCAGGATTAATTTCAGAGCTCGTACTTAGCTTCTATACTAAACTGAAATAGGAAATATCAAAATACCAATAGGCAAAATAGGTTAAGTCCAGTTATTTGATTGTTAGGCTGGTTAGTATTGATGTTCAAATACCTGGTAAAGAATTTAGCAGATTATTTTGCAATATAAATATTTATTTAAAACAACATTTGCCTCATTTCCTAATTCCAAAGACTGACTTAGAATTTTTGAAATAAAAATATTTACTTGGAAGATAATTTTACTGGCTTAGCCATGTACTCCCTATTCTTAAACCTGTTAATTTAACATAGCTTTTACTTTGTCCCACCTAACTTTCTTATTTTCTATGATAAATATTGTAGAAGAACCACCTAACTTTTTATACTAAAGTTTTGATTTTTCACCTCTGCTTGGTTCTAAAATTGACAGCTGTAAATTCTGCCTACTCTTATTTTCACTTGTCTTTTTGTTATTTTCTCTTGTAATCCTCAAACTTTGTAACTTAATTTTTAAATTTACCATGTTTACTTTTGGGGCATTTTGGTTTCTCATGTCTTTTTTTTTTTTTTTATTTCGGCATATTATGGGGGTACAGATTTTAAGGTTTCAATAAATGCCCATTCCCCCCCACCTCCCTCAACAAGTCTGAGTCTCCAGCACGACCATCCCCCAGATGGTGCACATCTCACTCATTATGTATGTATATACCTGCCCCCTCCCACCTGCCCAATACCCTATTACTATAGTACCTATGTGTCCACTTAGGTGCTATTCAGTTAATACCAATTTGCTGGTGAGTATATGTGGTGCTTGTTTTTCCATTCTTGGGAAACTTCACTTAGTAGTATGGGTTCCAGCTCTAACCAGGAAAATATAAGATGTGCTATATCACTGTTGTTTCTTAGAGCTGAATAGTACTCCATGGTATATATATACCACATTTTGTTAATCCATTCTTGGATTGATGGGCACTTGGGCTGTTTCTACAGCCTTGCAATTATGAATTGTGCTGCTATAAACATTCGAGTGCAGGTGTCTTTTTTGTAGAGTGTCATTGGATCTTTTGGGTAGATGCCCAGCAATGGGATTGCTGGATCAAATGGTAGACTCACTTGTATCGCTTTAAGGTATCTCCATATTGCTTTCCACAGAGGTTGAACTGGTTTGCAGTCCCACCATCTCATGTCTTTTTTTTTTTAAGAGAAGGGGTTTTCCTTTGTTGCCTAGGCTGGAGTACAGTGGTATGATCATAGCTTGCTGCAGTCTGGCACTCCTGGGCTCAAGCAATCCTCCCACCTCAGCTTCTCTAGATGGCTAGGACTACATGCCTACACCACCATGCCTGGCTAATTTTTAAACTTTTTGTAGAGATGGGGTTTCACTGTATTTCCCAGGCTAGCCTTGAACTCCTGGCCTCAAGTGATCCTCCCACCTTGGCCTCCCAATGTGCTGGGGTTACAGGTATGAGCCACAGCACCCAGTGCCATCTATTCCTGATACAGTACTTTTCCAATTCTTATTTTGAAACTGTTTAACATCTCTTTTCCCTTACCTTCCTCACTAATATTTGCAGTTAGTATTCTCTCTTATTTAACTTATAAATTTTACTATGACTATTCCTTCAATACCCTGCCCATTGAATGTCTTCAGCATAAATGTACAGTTAAAGAAGATGTACATGGTACTTCTAAATAAAAATGCCTCCTCTGTTTAAGTTTAAAATTTCTCTTCTGAAATGGAAAAAAACAAAATTGGGGAAAGTAGAACCTTGTGGGAAAAAGCAGAGGTTATGAAAAAGTAGGGAAATGAAAAAGATTACATGTAGGGTAAGTAGCATTATAGTGAAGAATTGTGGATATGGTTCAACTTCAAGGAACATTTATTTCTCTTGAATTAATCAGTGCCTTTTAATGTGTAATGTCATAAAGGTCTTTAGTAAAAGTAGTATTCTAAATCCTTGTTTTGTAGGCTAAAAATTCAATTGATGCAAGTGGAGAGAATCCAGGTAAATTTCCTTATTCTAATTTTGAAGAATATGAATTTATATTTTTGTTTTAATTGCTATCAAAAACAAAACTTTTTGTTTTATAGTGATAAGAAAGAAAAGAGGAAGAGAAGATGAATCATATAATATTTCAGAGGTCATGTCAAAAGAGGTAAAACTAAAAGGGGGAGGGCACACAATATTTGATGTTGAGTGACATATATTATAGATTTTGAACAACCTTAAAGTTGTAAGGATGGAATATTCTATTTCACATCAGATTTTCTATTTATAGTAGAGACGGGGTCTTACTCTTGCTCAGGTTGGTTTTGAACTCCTGACCTCAAGCAATCTGCCTGCCTGGGCCTCCCAGAGTACTAGGATTACAGGTGTGAGCGACCATGCCCGGCCTCAAATTTGTTTTTATATTTAGTATCATGTCATTTATAGGTGAAGCTGCCAAAAAGTTAGAAGCTATCTACCAGCGATCAGTAGACTTTAAATCTGAAACATAGACTTTTTTTTTTTTTTTTTGAGGCAGGGTCTCACCTTGTTTCCCAAGCTTGAGTGCAGTGGCAGCATCATAGCTCACCGAAACCTCAAACTTTTGGGCTCAAGCAATCCTCCTGTCTCAGCCTCCAAAGTAGCTGGGACTATAGGTGCATGCCACTATGCCTGGCTAATTTTTCTATTTTTTATAGAGATGGGGTCTTGCTGTGTTGCTCAGGGTGGTCATGAACTCCTGGCAATAAGTGAGCCTCCTGCTTCTGTGTGAACCACCATGCTTAGCCATATATAGAGTTTTCTGGGAGTGAGTCACCATGCCTGGCCATAGAGAGTTTTCTGTTACCTTTTTAAGTGACACATAGGCTTTTATCTTCACGTTGTACTAGTTTTTTTATTCAGGTTATACAGAATTAGTAGTAGCTTCGACTTTCCCATTAATTATGTTTATTAACAGTATTCACAAAAACACACAGCCAGCTGGAGTTGGTCTACAGACTATAGTTTGCAGACCCCAGTACTAGAGGATGGTTGCTATGTGTGAATTTGTACTTAATCTACTCAGATTTTTTTTTTAAAAGCTGGAAAATCCAGGTATTTGCGGAAAATCCCAATTTTTAAAGTTTTGCCAATTAGTTTAGAATTGAATAAGATACTATGAGCCAATAATGTCCATAGGCTTAATTCTGCCTGAGGACCACCAGTTTAAGATCTGTGTAATTTAATTATCTTGAGAACCTTATCCCCATTTCCTGGCAAATTGGCATAAAGTAAATGTTTTTTTAATAAATAAGTAAATAAGCTTCATAAATTATTAATTCACTTTTGTTTTCTCAATTTTCTAGGAAATTTTGTCTGTGGCTAAAAAAAATAAAGAGAGTGAGGTAAGAGATTTATAATAGACAATTAAATTTAGGGGCCATGTTTGCTATCTGGTCACTAGTCCCTTTTAATCACCAGTGTACATTTTCCTCACTATCCCATTTCTTTGCTTTTTAAAAAATACCTATCCAGTCTCACTTCTTCCATATCCTAACATCCTTCTTTCTGATGTATTAACTTTAGGCATTCCTTGCATGTTCCTAGATGTGTAAATATTAATTTATGGGTCTAGCAATGATGCTATTAACTTGTGAGTCTGGGAATGATGCAAGGGTCTATAACCATGTAGATATGTACAGTGAGTCTTGTGGAAACTGAGGGATGCCTTAATCTTGCTTCTGGCCTTAAAAATTTTCTTTAGTTCTATTTGGAAAGGGTTCATTTCTGAGCCATCTCTCCCCCCGTCCTCATTTTATGTAGAGTAGTTCCTTGTTATCTGAGTATTCACTATCCAAGTCCCTACAATACAAAGTTGTATAGGGAAGCAGAGTAATTGTGACATGAAAATATTCACTAATGGATATGAATGTCAGGTAATTAATTTACATATCAAAGATTTTTAGGTCCTTGGAAAAACTGATATTAGTTTAGAAAATCAGATACTCTAGTTGACCATCATATAATTTGTCCAAAATATATACCATAAAAGTGCCTTGGTTTTTTTCTTCTTTGTTCAGTATAAGGATTGAATTGTGATTGTAATTATAACCTGTTAAGTGTAAATATAGATTAAGCTTATTTTTATAATGTGCGGTTGCATTTTAAAATATAAAATCTTAGCCTAATCTTCTATCATAATTTACTATGGAATTTTGGCTGTACTTTATAATTTACATGCAGGCAATCAGTCATTAAGAAATGAATAGTTCTTAAGTGTTCATTTTAATGAATTTTGACACATGCATATACCTGTGTAATCATTGTCCATATCAAGGTGAGTGGTAGAAGGGTGCCTTGTACACCTTTCTACTTATTTCTCTACTCCTAAACCTAGAGTACATCACTTTTGGACGATTACAGGCTAATTTTCTTCCTTTTCACTCAACATGTCTATGATATTCACTTATATTGTTGACTATATTAGTAGTTTTTTTTTTTTTACTGCTGAGTAATATTCCATTGAATGAATATTATTTTCTTTATCCATCCTCTCATTAATGGTTATTTGGATTGTTTCTAGTTTGACTTTTATGAACAAGGCTGTTATGATCATTTGCATACAAGTCTTTGTGTGGATATGTTTTCATGTTTTTTGCCTGTGTACCTAGGAATGGAATTGTTGGGTCATATGGTATACTTTTCCCAAAGTAAACACACCATTTTATTCTCTCACCATCAAAGGATGAAAATTCCAATTTAGGATATAGTTGACATTTGACATTGTCAGGCTTTTGAATTTTGGTCGTTCTACTAGATGAGAAATGTGGTTTTATGTTACATTTGTTAAAATAACTAATGAGGTAGGCTGTATTTTTATGTTTTAATGGCTGTTTGTATGTTTTCTTTTGTAAAGAAGTATCTGTATCTTTTACCTGTTTATTGGTTCATTTGTCATTTATCATTGATAATGAATTTTTTTTAATATCATCTGGATATAAGTTCTTAATCCTTTTTTTACTGTATTTTCTGTCAGTTTGTGGCTTAATGGTATCTTTTAATAAGCAGATTTTTTTTTGACATCCTAAAATGGACTTTTCATTTCAGAATTTTTTTTTGAGACAGAGTCTCGCTTTGTTGCCCAGGCTAGAGTGAGTGCCGTGGCGTCAGCCTAGCTCACAGCAACCTCAAAATTCCTGGGCTCAAGCAGGTCCTGCTGCCTCAGCCTCCTGAGTAGCTGGGACTATAGGCATGCGCCACCATGCCCGGCTAATTTTTTCTGTATATGTTAGTTGGCCAATTAATTTCTTTCTATTTATAGTAGAGACGGGGTCTCGCTCTTGCTCAGGCTGGTTTCAAACTCCTGACCTCTAGCAATCTGCCCGCCTCGGCCTCCCAGAGTGCTAGGATTACAGGCGTGAGCCACTGTGCCCGGCCCAGAATTTTTGTTTTAAGAAATAGGATCATACTCTGTTGCCCAGGCTTATATGCAGTAGCTAGATGATATCTCATTGCAGCCTTGAATTCTTGGCCTCAAATGATACTCCCTCCTCAGCCTCCCAAGTAGCTGGGATTATAGGTATGCACTACCATGCCTATTTTTTTGTTTTTTTTTAAGAGATGGGGGTCTCTCCATGTTGCCCAGGCTGGTGTCGAACTTCTGGCCTCAAGTGTTCCTCCCACCTCAGCCTTCTGAGTAGCCAGGACTATAGGTGTGCACCTCTGCTCTGGGCCTAGTTTGCACATTTTTAAATTGGAATTATAGATATCTATAAACAGTAAAGTGTACCATTGGTTTAAGTTGGTCCTGAATGTCACAAAAAGATATATTGACTGACACTCTTAAGTGTGATATACTAAGTTTTTAAACTTTTATTTTACCCCTTTCCCTGCAATGAAAGTAATGACTTAAATGAAAGTAAATGTTTCTATATTCCCTAAAAGGAACTTTTTTCTCCCTCATAGATATTATTCATTATCCTTTCTGTGGGCAAAGGACATTATTAAGAAAATAGTTTAATAAATTCTTAAGTAGGACAATATTGTTTTGGAAGTGCAATTTCTTTCTTTTTTTGAAACAGAGTCTTAACTTTGTTGCCTGGCTAGAGTGCCGTTGCATCAGCTTAGCTCACAGCAACCTCAAACTCCTGGGCTCAAGTGATCCTTCTCTGCCTCAGCCTCCCTGCTATCCCTCAGCTGGGACTACAGACATGCGCCACCATGCCCAGCTAATTTTTTCTATATATTTTTGGTTGGCCAACTAATTTCTTCCTATTTTTTTAATAGAGACAGGGTCTTGCTCTTGCTCAGGCTGATCTTGAACTCCTGAACTCAAATGATCCACCTGCCTTGGCCTCCCAGAGTGCTAGGATTACAGGCGTGAGCCACTGCGCCCTGCCTGGGAAGTGCAGTTTCTAATGGTCATTTCAAAATTATGTGCCTGTTGATAATTTTAATCTTTAACGGTTATTCTAAGAAGTTTGTTGTTGTTTTTTAATGACTTTGCTTTTATAGCTGAATGGAGGTGTTGCCACATTTTTAATCCTGATATGATCTTAGTTCTCCATACTGATGATTATAGGACTAGGTAGATTTTGATTATTAGTTAAAATTTTCTGATAAATGGGGGTGTGTGTACAGCAGCATTTTATACCAAATTTCTAATTAAACTTTTTTCTTTTTCTTTACAGAATGAAAACTCCTCCTCTACTAATCTCTGTGTAGAAAATCTGCAGAAAAACAACGATTCAAATAGTATAATTAAAGATAGATTATCTCAAACTGTTAGACAGAATACTAAATTCTTTTTTGATCCAGTTCGGAAATGTAATGGACAGCCAGTACCGTTTCAACAACCAAAGCACTTTACAGGAGGAGTGATGCGATGGTACCAAGTAGAAGGCATGGAATGGCTTAGGGTAATGAATTGTCATTTTTAATACAAGATATTGGTTCACTTCTATAATAGCCTCATAATGTGATATACCACTTGAGTTGTTCATTTCATGTTTCATTATTATACATAAAACAAACATTTCTGTATAGATACTGATTTATTTACCCAGAGTAAATTTTTGGAAGTGAAAATTATTTTGTTAAAGGCTTCCAACAGTTTTATGGCTTTGATAAAGGACTTCCCACAAGTATTATTATAATTTATGGTTTGAATTTATCAGTCTCATCATAATTGTCATCTTTGGGTATGATTTTAAAAAAAGAAACCATTGCGAATTCAGTAGGTATTTATATTGGAATTTAAATACAGTGTATGTTGTTTTATTCAGATGCTTTGGGAAAATGGAATTAATGGCATTTTAGCAGATGAAATGGGATTGGGAAAGACAGTTCAGTGCATTGCTACAATTGCATTGATGATTCAGAGAGGAGTACCTGGACCTTTTCTTGTCTGTGGCCCTCTGTCTACACTTCCTAACTGGATGGCTGAGTTCAAAAGATTTACACCAGAAATTCCTACTATGTTATATCACGGAACCCAGCAAGAACGTCGAAAATTAGTAAGGAATATTCACAGACGGAAAGGGACGCTGCAGATTCATCCTGTGGTAATTACGTCATTTGAAATAGCCATGAGAGACCGAAATGCATTACAGGTACAAATGGTCTTCATTGGTTTCTTTGTAATATAGAAAGCATTTTTGTCAATTCATAGCACTTTCTCCCCATCTAATAGCATTTGTTTAATTTTTTTTTCTGATTGAACTAATAGATTGTATTGTGCATATTCCTCTAGAACCTTGAGGCTTATGTTAACAGAGAGATTATGATGAAGGCTATAGTCTGTAACAATAAAATTGAAGCATATGGCACTTTAACTTCTGGCCATAATATCATTTTAAATGTGTTGGAAGCAGCCAGACATAGACCTAATCTTTGAATGTATTACAGATAAATTTTTGACATATACTTTGAGTCCATAGATTTTACCCTATCCATTGTATTTATTTTAATCAAATAAGAATAGAATACTTGAAAACAAGTTACTTTTATTTTTTTTATTAGACAGAGTCTCGCTTTGTTGCCCAGGCTAGAGAGAGTGCCGTGGCATCAGCCTAGCTCACAGCAACCTCAAACTCCTGGGCTCAAGCAATCCTCCTGCCTCAGCCTCCCGAGTAGCTGGGACTACAGACATGCGCCACCATGCCCAGCTAATTTTTTCTATATGTATATTAGTTGGCAATGAATTTCTTTCTATTTATTAGAGATGGGGGTCTCGCTCTTGCTCAGGCTGGTTTCGAACTCCTGACCTCGAGCATTCCGCCGCCTCAGCCTCCCAGAATGCTAGGATTACAGGCCTGAGCCACCGCGCTTGGCCAAACTATTTGTTTCTTTTTTTCTTCTATATATATTAGTTGGCCAATGAATTTCTTTCTATTTATAGTAGAGATGGGGTCTCGCTCTTGCTCAGGCTGGTTTCAACTCCTGACCTCGAGCAATCACCGCCTGGCCTCCCAGAGTGCTAGGATTACCGGGGTGAGCCACGCGCCGGCCCAAACCATTTCTTATAGTAAAATAAAGTAATATGTACCAATTGTAGAAAATGGTAGTATACAGAAAAATGTAAAAGCACCATAATTCTACCTAGAATCATTGCTTTATATTAAATAAATAATGCTGTTAACCTGTAGGTATAATTTATACATAGGATCATATTATATATTCTCTTTTTAAATCTTGTTTTCTACTCAGTAGTAAAACATGAAGACTCTTCCTGATTAGTTGTTCTTCCTACCCAGTCCAATATTGAAATAGTTAAGCTTTCCTTGTCATTTCATTTGCCATTGGCTAAAGTCTATTATAGTTTTCCCTTTATTAGCTTATGCTATCATTTCAAGGGTCTTAGCTTTGGAGATATGAGAGTATGGGATTCCAGGTCTGTTGTGGCTGAGTAGGAGCAGAAGTATCTTAGTTCTCTTGCAAATTTGTTTTTTATTCCTCATCACTATTTCCTTGGTTTTTCCTTTTCTGTCCTTACATATTATAAAGGATGTGTTTTATTTTTCTGGCATTTTTAGATAGGGGTCTTATAAAAGTGAACATAATTCAGGTTATCCGATTTGCCGTATTGCTAGAAAATAAGTTCTTTCAAGTAGTTTTATTAAGAAGATATAATATTACAAGATTTGTTCATTATGTTAGGAGTGTATTAAGTAAAATACAAAATATGCTCCATTTTCATACTCTTTCTTAGTCTGTCAGTCCCATTTTCCAAGATACCTTTATTTGCTAGATTAGAATTTATATTTACAGAAATGCTGCATATTCTATATGTTAATACAGTAAATTAGATGAATTATAAGTTACCTGGTCAAGATAAAGAGAAAGCACAGATATTAAGAAAGAGAAAAAGTGAAAACAATTTTCATCTGGGCACGATGCTCACTCCTGTAATCCTAGCACAAGGTGGGAGGATTGCTTGACTCAGGATGTGAGACCAGCCTGAGTTAGAGGGATAACCCTGCTTTACTAAAAATAGAAAATTAGCCAGGGCATTGTGCGTGCTGTAGTCCCAGCTCCTTGGGAGGCTGAGGCAGGAAGATTGCTTGAGTATAGAAGTTTGAGGTTGCAGTGAGCTATGATAAGGACACTGCACTCTACCCAGGTGACAGAGTGAGACTCTGTCTCAAAAAGAAAAAAAGAAGAAAAAAGGAAATAATCTCCCTCCTCACTCTCCCATTAAAAAAACAATTTTTATTCAACTTTATAAAAGCAAAGGATAACTTTCTGTGAAAATATAGATCGATAAACTTGGCTCTAGAAAAAAGGGAAAACCTAAACCAATAACTTTGTGGAATTGAGAACATCATCTGATTTAAAGAGTGTCAGTCTCAGGTGTAGTCTTCAAGAATGAAAATTCTAATGCATAATTAACGTTTCAGAAGCATGGGAAGCTAAATGAAGCTTTCAATGTTTCATAATCTAGTATAACAGTAATGTCAAGACTGGGCAAAACAATAGAAGGGAATGCTACAGATTGCTTTGACTAAAGAGTGAATAGGAAATCTTAAAGATATAATAGCAGGAGAACTTCAATATTATTTCATGTCTGGTGAGGTTATTCCAGAAATGCAAGTGTACCTTAGTTTCAGGAGAATCTTTGTTTATTAGTGGATCAAAGGAAACATGATTGTCTCACATAGATACCAAAATGGCACTTGATAAAATTCAAATCCATCCCTCAATCCTCAGAAAAGAGTTTCATTTATAGAATTGTTTTTAGGAAAATTGTGATATCATTATTTAAAATTTTTTCCCTCATTTTCTAGAAGTTGCTATTGGAAATACTTAATAGTAGATGAAGGACACAGGATTAAGAATATAAGTGCCGTTTAATCAGGAATTTAAACGATTCAAACTGCTGATAACAAACTCTCTTGTGACTGGTACTCCTCTACAAAACAATTTATCAGAACTTTGGTCATTGCTAAATTTTTTGTTGCCGGATGTATTTGATGACTTGAAAAGGTAGGTAAGCTAATTATTTAACTGTTTTGCATATATTTCAAACGTTAAAAAATCTGTGCTCTTAGTTAAAATTAATCCGTTTCTTCTCGGTAGCTGAATTACAATGATAAATTTTTGTCAAATTATTTGTGTTAATTTATGTTAACATTATCTTCTCTTCCATTCTGAGGATGCTAATTATTTTCTGAAAATTATTTTTATTTTTGGTTTTTATGATATAAAGCTAAGACTCAAGCAGTTTCTATAAGGTCATTAAGTATGAAATGTCCAATTTTTTTAAGTACTAAGTTTGACAGTTGATAACTCTGACATTTGACTTTGACACTTCTTGGTTTTTCTTCCTATTGTGAAGGTTCAACCTCAAGTCTTTCAAATGTACATTTTGGCTTGTGATTATTTTTCACTTTTTTTTAAGAGCAATTTTTGTGAAACCATGTTATAAGTCAAAAATTCGTGTTATTTTTGAATATGAGTTCCATCATGGAACCATTGCACTGCAGACAGCTTGAAATATCACCACAGTGTTTAGGAAGGATGTGGCTAATGAATGCACAATAGGTCAATGGTTTGAGAAGTTCCATTCTGGTGATTTTCATTTTGAAAGTGAGCCATGTGGGTGAGTGACCTGAGACCAAGGTGAATGGATAATGATGAGCTAAAAGCTGTTGTATCTCCTGTCATTAGTATTTTTCACAATTGGATTTACTGACAAATCTACATGCTTATACTTGCTTATTTATTTTATTAATATTATGTTTTAGAGACAGAGTCATGCTTTGTCTCCCAGGCTGGATTGCAGTGGCCTGATTGTAGCTCACTATAACCTTGAACTTCTGGGTTTGAGCTATCCTACCACCTCAGCCTCCTGAATAGCTGGGTCTACAGGCATGTGCCATCACACCTGGCTAATTTTTTTATTTTTTGTAGAGGACAGGGTCTCACTCTGTTCCCCAGACTTGTCTCAAACTCCAGGCCTCAAGTGAGCCTCCTGCCTTGGTCTCCCAAGGCTGGGATTATAGTTATGAGCTACCTACCATACCTGGCCTAATTGCTCATTTTAATAGTTTTTTCTACTTTGGAAAGTACTAAAGGATGTATAATAGATACCAACCATTATCAAGCTCTATATGTATGTTGAATTTTAAAAGATTTATTTTAGTGGGTCATATTTATACCTATAGAGGCAAACCATATGACCTTTGTTTTCAGAAAGAGTTATTTCTATAACTTAAAATGTTTCATAAAGTATGTGCCTGAATTTTTATTTGATGTTCTATTATTGTAATACTATGTTAATATATTTATAAATCATAAAAATGTCACCTGTAAGATCACAGTTTTTGATTGTTGAGTCAAAAAATATCTTTGTTGTTTGAATGTTTTCTTGTAATTAAAAATTGTGATGATGTGGTGCAACAATATCACATGTTTCAATATTGCAAATTATTGTAATTGTAAAACATGTATCATGTTAATATGATTGATTTTGTTTAATAGCTTAACTTGTAACCATTTTTCTTTTCCAGCTTTGAGTCTTGGTTTGACATCACTAGTCTTTCTGAAACTGCTGAAGATATTATTGCTAAAGAAAGAGAACAGAACGTTTCAATTGCCCTCACCGGATTTTGACTGATTTAAATTTTGCTTATTGTAGGCTTGTAGTGCCTCAATCTAGAACCTAACAAAGACACATATGAGAGTTCTCTGCAATTTAAATGATTCCCCTGCCTTCCACTACACACACAAAAACAAAGACACACAATTAAATTGGCTGATTCATAAACTAAAATATTACCCACTATAAGGCTTGATGACAACAAATGTGTATTTTTATGCAGTAAAACAATGGTAATTTGTATAAATTATATCCTTGCAAACGGCTTGATGAAATCCATTTGCTTATTGCTAAATAGCTCAACACAATCTCATACAAACTAACATTATCTTTACACAATAACAACACGTAAGTTTTAGAAATAAAATTCAAAATTTTATAATTAACAAGTTTATACCATGCACATATAAGAAAAAAAACAAACAAGAAGTGAAAAGTAAATAGGATCACTTCCTTTCTCCACACACACACAAACACACCCCCCCCCCCCCCCCCTAGCAGCCATATAACAGAATAAAATTAATTTCAACTTTAGAAAAAAAACACATTTTGTCTGTATATAAACATATAACATGTATTTATCTATATTTATGAAAACAAACTTTAAAAATAATGTACTTAAATCTTTTAAAAATTATCAGAAAATTATTTCCCTCACAATGCTAATAGATTTTTTGTTTGTTTTTGTTGAAACACAGTCTGCTCTGTATTGTCGAGGCTGCAAGTGGTAGAAAATATATATTCGATGTATTTTGATGGTCCCTGTTAAGATGAACACTGTATACTATTTTCCTGATGTGGTCCTGTAGTATATGAATGTGTTTCTTGGGCTAGTATTGCAGATATATGAACAGAATTAGGAACAAACATCAAAGCTAGATAGAAGACCAATTTAAATGCAATATAATTGAATTTTCTTATTGTGAACTCCCAAAATACCCCATTCTGAAAACTGTTGCATTTGGATCATGGATATAATGGAAATTCATTATCATTCTATATTCATATAAATTTATAGCTATTTATAATAAACAGTTCTAATGACGCCACCTTATGAAATAACCAACTATAACAATTACTACAAATGTTCAATGAAATGGATGACTATTTTTCAGGAATTTGTTTAAAAGGCCAGGCTCAGTGGCTCATCCTACCTATATCCAATGACTCTGGATCCTCTAAGAGATCGCTTGAGGCAGGAGTTTGAGACGCAGCCTGAGTAACATAGACCCTATTGAGAGACACACACACACACACACACACACCACACACAAAATTAGCGTGTGGGTGCCAGCACCAGGCTCAGTGGCTCACTCCTACCTATAATTCCAATGACTCTGGATCCTCTAAGAGGATCGCTTGAGGCCAGGAGTTTGAGACCAGCCTGAGTAACATAGACCCTATTGAGACACACACACATATACAATTAGCGTGTGGGTGCCAGCTCATAGCCCCAGCTACTCTAGAGGATAAAGCAGGAGGATGAACTCTTGAGCCTAGTTAAAGGACATAGTGAGCTATGATCACATCATTGCACTCCAGCCTGGGTGACAAAGCAAGATTCTGTCTCAAAAAATAATAATAAAATAAAAGGACTCCTGTTACAACGAGAAGAGGGCTTACCTGAATGCTCTCTGCGGTCCCCTTTAAGTGCTAAATTTTACAAATTCTCATTGTCATGACTCTATAGTTAAATTTCCTAAGGATAGAAACTTAAGATCCAAGCCCTTATTTTTGCTATACTATATGGATTTAACTATTGAGGATAATCATGTCATCCCAAAACATATGTCTTTCTTAATAAATCATTTTCCCACAATGTTCCACACCAGGACACTTCAAAGCCTCCAGAACAACTACTGACATGTCAATATTTTTAAATTTAAACACATACACATGCACAAAGACACCATCAAGTTTTTCATAAGGTGGCTCATTAGAAAACATGTAATTAGGTTTATCAACTTTTTTCTATACAAAAGGGTTCCCAAATTCCCAAATCAAACTATGTCTGTTGATACACATATTATAAAGGTATAGTGTCTTCAGAAATATTTTTTTAATTCTTTTGTGAAGTTCTCGTAGCTTACTATGTGTATTTTACTCCCCACATTAAAAGCCAAAAGCAGTATGACATTTAAGAATTAAATTTCTTTCATTTAAAAATTATTTTAAAAATAATATATGTAAATGGTAAAAAGTTTTTAAACAGTATGGAAAGTTATTAAATAAAAAATATGTTTCCTTTATTCCTGCCACACTTCCTTTCCCATTTTCCCCGGTGTAACTGATGGTTTCTTATTTTTGCCTATTCATTTAGAAACCTTGTATCTTAGCAAATATATGTATAAATATCCTTTATATGTGTCCTTCAACAGGGTAGAGCACCTCTTCACCCATGTTTGCCATTTCTAGACAACATCAAACTATTATGTCAGTGCAAGTGGTAGAAAAATATATATCATTATTTTGATGATCCCTTTAAAGATAACATTTACATTTTTCCTGATTGTCTGTAGGTATATTAATGTGTTTCTGGGCTAGTATCTGCAGATATGTTTTTTTTTAAACCACTTGTCATGTTTTCTCTTTATCTGATACAGTATCTCTATGCTTAGCTCAATATCTATGGATATTTAAGTACAAAGCCCTGAAAATGAGCTTTATCATATAATTACTATATGTAAACCATTATAAACTGATATTTATAGAGAAGGCTATTCAGGGTATAAACTGATTTTAAACAGTTTGTGTTCTTTTAAAGGCCTAAATAATTTAACAATGGCATAATTATCTGTTGCTTCTATGTTATTCTATTTATAAATGTGATAATCACTTGTAATCACCCCAGCTAATAGTAATTTTAAGCCTGAAGTTTTAGAACTTATGCAAGGAAACTTCCATGTCTGCATTTCTAGACTCATTGGCTTTCTACTAGTCTATATCCTCTTTCTAAAAGTTGTGGCCTGTAACTGAAATGTTTAACCCTAGGAAGTACAAATATTACCTTTTCATTTCTACTTTTTAAATTTTTCAAGATATATTCTTAGAGTTTTTAAAAGATTAGTAAATTGGGAGATGTTATGCATACATACAATGATGTGTACTGATTTATTGTGTACTGATCTTGGAAAATTTCAAGGAGATGATATTTATATCTGACTTTTTAAGATTTCATAGTATTTATGCAGGAAGAAAGGGAGTGTGTGGGGACAGTATTCCCTGAAAAATAAAATTGTTTAATATTCATATTTGTTCATGTTTAAATTTTAGATTCTAACACCTTTTTTACTGAGAAGACTGAAATCTGATGTTGCTCTTGAAGTTCCTCCTAAACGTGAAGTAGTTGTTTATGCACCACTTTCAAAGAAACAAGAGATCTTTTATACAGCCATTGTGAATCGTACAATTGCAAGCATGTTTGGATCCAGTGAGGTAGAGTGTGGATTTTAAATATACTGTAAACAAGACTTGGCATATAAAATTTCATGTTTGATTTCAGTCTTTTGGCTCCCCATCTGTTTTCAGGACTTGTTGGGTATATTTCTAACTGGAGTATAAGGTATAAGGCCAGTAATAAAAGGTGTTACATGTCCTGCTAAAATTTAAGTAATGGTTTATGTGTTAATTGCTTTATAGTCATTTGGAATGCTTGTTAAAAATTTACATTTCTTTGCCTTACTACTTGTAGGAGCAAAAAAGAAAAAAAAAGTTTAGGTTCCTTTACCAGATTAACCCTTATCATTCTGTTTGAGATTGGACTTGGAAATACATTTTTAACCAACACAATTATTTGAGAATCACTGTACTAAGAAGGGCTTACCAACTACTAGACCAGTCGCCTCCAAATAGCTTGAGCATCCCAAATCCAAAATCTGAAATACTCTTAAATTGGAAACTTTGAGAGCTGACATGATGCTCAAAGAAAATGCTCATTAGAGCATTTTGATTTTCAGATTAGGGATGCTCAACCTGTGCAATTTGTTCACAGGAGGTCATTGATAGCCAAAAGGATTAATAGAATATTCTATTTGAAAGAAATAGCTACATTCATCACCTACCATATAAGAGATGTAGGTAAGATGTCATGTGAATGAAGATAAGGAAATCCTTAAATTTTGTGTAAATGTCTAGATTTTGACTGTATGTTATGGACCATACTTCCTTTTCAAAATATTTATGGTTATGTATTTCCGTTTAATACGGCCATTATTAGACTGTCTTTTCCCCTTTTAATATTAATTATAATTAAAGGAATGGTCTGGCTTTTTAGCTGTTAGAAACTTGTATTTGCCTATTGTAAAGATTCTATTTATAATATACTAATCCAAAGAGATATCCTCTATAAGGCAAATTTCTGGAGCCTATTTTAGCTTTAAATTATTAAATCCCTTTATATAAATTTAAGACAATTTTTTATACCCTTAGTTTTTTCTACTGAAATCTGAAGGTGCTTGTTCTCACTTTCAAATATTGTCATCAATGTTAACAGAAATTTCATGCAACATTTGCATTTGGCTATAGATTGTGGATCCTTGATATTATGCAGTTGGGAATTACTAACTTGATGAGAGACAAATTATTTTTTCTTTATGTGTTAGAAAATTATTTTGTACACTAAAATATCATATCTTATTTTGCTTATATTTAGAACCTAAAGGTATAACTTTTAAAGCAGATTTTTAAAACTTTGTTTTCTTTTAGAAAGAAACAGTTGAAGTAAGTCCTACTGGACGACCAAAACGACGAACTAGAAAATCAATAAATTACAGTAAAATAGATGATTTCCCTAATGAATTGGAAAAATTGATCAGTCAAATACAGCCAGAGGTGGACCGAGAAAGGTGTGAGTTTAAAAATAAATTTAAGCATTCTCTAAATGTGGTATTTTTTGCATTTCTCATTTACATGCACTATGTTTTTGGTAGAACTGTTGTGGAAGTGAATATCCCTGTAGAATCTGAAGTTAATCTGAAGCTGCAGAATATAATGATGTTACTTCGTAAATGTTGTAATCATCCATATTTGATTGAGTATCCTATAGACCCTGTTACACAAGAGTTTAAGGTAAATATCATTTAATAATTTACCATTTTGATTTCTATAACTTTTTTATATTGGAGGAAAGTTATTTTGTTTGGTTGGATTATTATTATTATTAAAAGTAAATATTGTGCTGTTTGCCATATAAAGATTGTTATCCTTTAGTGAGCTGAGATAATCTTCTCCCCCAAGATTCAGAGAACCTATGAAGGTTAGAATGAAGGTCACTTTCTATGTGCAGCTAATATTTTTATTTACATATCTTATGTGAACAGCTGAGGATTAATATTTAGTAAAGCAATTAATTTCTACACTGCATATTTGCTTACTATATTTTAAAGGTAGTTCTCACCTTTTCAGTATTCCTTTTAGTTAATAATATTCAGCTTGTCACTTAACCTGCTGCTCATTGCTTAAATCTCAACAAAAAGCCACAGAAGAAAACCAAAAAGTTGATATTTAATTGGGGGCTTTCAGAGTAAGTGAATGGAATTGCTTTCTTGGGTAGTTGATAGAAAAATAACATAGTATTAAAATAAATCAGTTCTTAGTAACATTCAATAACCCTTGTTTCATAGTAGTTTACAACAAGGTTTCCACCTCTGCTAATATTGACATTTGGGGCCAGATAATTCTTTCTTGGGAGGTAATATCCTATGCACTTAGGACATTTAGCAGCATCTCTATCCTCTACCCACTAGATGCCAGTAGTGTCCACTTTCCTCAGTTATGACAGGAACTAAAATGTTTCCATCCACTGCCAAATGTCCCCTTGCGGTGAAGGGCAAAATTGCCTCTATTTGAGAACCACTGCTTTACACTCTGTATTCAAGTAAGGGAGAAGATATTAATAAAACTTTCTGCTCAAATGAAGGCAGTTCTCTTATGAGATAATTTCAGCAGAAGGTGAAAAATTTCTTTATTCATAATACTTGAATTGCTTATAAGCTCCTGTGTTTAATTTCTACTAAGAATTCTAGCAGCAATTTTCATTTTGTTGGGACTTTACTCAGTTATAAAGAATAAACCTTAATTATATGCACAATAACTTTGAACTTAATGTTCTCTTATATAAAACCTTTGAGAGGAGTGTGGAGGATCAACCACAGATAGACTTGCATTTAATTATTTTGTTTCTGTGAAATCACTTGTTTTACATCCTAATGTGTGTGTCTTTCTTTGAGAAATAACTATCTTCTGATTTTAAGAAAGTAAGTTCAGTTTTTAAGTTGTATAGTGATTTATTTGTTATTGAGAATTAAACTGCTTAAATGGCTTTTGTTTTGACAAAGCAAATGATTAGTAATTATATAGTGAGTGACAATTTTCTCTCTCTCTTTGCCTATTTCTAAGGTCGATGAAGAATTGGTAACAAATTCAGGAAAATTCTTAATTTTGGATCGAATGCTGCCAGAACTAAAGAAAAGAGGTCACAAGGTGATACTTTTGATTGGGATTTTGATTGCTTAATTATTTCTTACTAATCAGTATAGATACTAAGATGTATTTAAATTTCAGGTGCTGCTTTTTTCACAAATGACAAGGATGTTGGACATTTTAATGGATTACTGCCATCACAGAAATTTCAACTTTAGCAGGCTTGATGGATCCATGTCTTACTCAGAGAGAGAAGAAAATGTAAGACTACAGTGTCACACATACTTAACTTTTATTTTGTAACTCCTATCTTGGTTTCTGAAGTAATGAAAATAGAGCCACAGATTTATAAGACAGGAATGACAAAAAATCTTGTGGTGGAATCAAAAACAACCATTTTGATTTAGTACTAATAAGTCTTAATGTATCCTACTTAATCATGACTGTAAGAATATTGGGATAGCAGGAAATTCTTGTCTGACCTTTTGCTCCTGTTCCCATTTTATTATGAAAATTTCAAACATGTAGCAAAATTGAAAGAATGTTACAGTAAGTAACTGTAAATCTTCCTAAAATCATCTGTTAGCATTTGAGTATACTTTTTAAATCACATAACTGATAATAGCATTGCTGTGTCCATTTAACATTCCACCATCTTTTTAGATGTATATCAAAATAAATTATAAATGATACTAAATTGTTCTTTAGTGACTTCAGCATATTTTATCTTTTGAGGTAAAATTTACATATCTGACGTAAATAAAATAAAGTATACATTTGCTGAGTTTTGACAAAAGCATATGTAAATGTATCGCAAACCCCTGTCAAGATATAGAACATTACCATCAGCCCAAAAAGCTTTCTGTGCTTGCTCCTAGTCAGTTCACTCTTTCCACCCATTCTGTCTCCTACACAACTGCTACTGATTTTTGTCATAATTTTTTTACATAGCTTTTCTTATTTAAACATCTTTGTGATGTATAGTTTTTAACAAAATTAAGATCTCTTTAATAAAATAGCTACTTATAAAATAAAGTTAATGTGAGCACAGATTTTATTAGTTAACCTAATTGTTTTACACATCTGAATGATTCCTTTGGCCCCCAGTGATAGGTCTCTAACACTTGTAATAACTTATTTTTTTTTTTTTTTTTTTTTTTTTTTTTTTTTTTTTTTTTTGAGACAGAGTCTCGCTTTGTTGCCCAGGCTAGAGTGAGTGCCGTGGCGTCCTAGCTCACAGCAACCTCAAACTCCTGGGCTCGAGCGATCCTTCTGCCTCAGCCTCCCGGGTAGCTGGGACTACAGGCATGCGCCACCATGCCCGGCTAATTTTTTTTTATATATATATCAGTTGGCCAATTAATTTCTTTCTATTTATAGTAGAGACGGGGTCTCGCTCTTGCTCAGGCTGGTTTTGAACTCCTGACCTTGAGCAATCCGCCCGCCTCGGCCTCCCAAGAGCTAGGATTACAGGCGTGAGCCACAGCGCCCGGCCTTCTTTTTTTTTTTAATATATGGAAAGCTTCACGAATTTGCATGTCATCCTTGCACAGGGGCCATGCTAATGTTCTCTGTATTGTTCCAGTTTTAGTATATGTGCTGCCAAAGCAAACACTAACAGCTATAATTAAAAATAGTTTTTTCCTGCAGTCTTACTGGTTAAAGCTAATTTCTTTATTTGTTGTGTTTACATCCTTTTTGCTTTTAGATGCACAACTTCAACACAGATCCAGATGTGTTTATCTTTTTAGTGAGTACACGAGCTGGTGGCCTGGGTATTAATTTGACTGCAGCTGATACAGTTATCATTTATGATAGTGATTGGGTAAGTTGGAAGCATAGCAAATGCTTATTATATTTCCATTCTGAATTTTTAATCTTTTATTGTATACATTACTATACATTACAGTTTCATTTATATATTCTGAATAGATTCATTTTCAGCTAAGAATCATTTATTCATCAAGTTTTCTGCATGTAAAAACCTGAAATTTTTTCTTTGCAATATATAAAATTTTTTCTTATGATTGCCAGCTATGTATAATGGTAACTTTATCTGTGAAGGTACTCTAAGAGTCTAAATTAAGGCACCGTTATTAAAAAGTTTCTGATTTGATTATGCATGTTGACTTTACCTATATAAGTTTAAGTTACTTTTAACCTAATACTATTAAATATTATTTTTCTTTTTAACTTTAAGAATCCCCAGTCTGATCTTCAGGCCCAGGATAGATGTCATAGAATTGGTCAGACAAAGCCAGTTGTTGTATATCGCCTTGTCACAGCAAATACTATCGATCAGAAAATTGTGGAAAGAGCAGCTGCTAAAAGAAAACTGGAAAAGTTGATCATCCATAAAAGTAAATACTTATGTAGTACTTTTTGTTTCAGTTATCCATTGTGTGTCGTGAATTTTTATAACTGTTATTTTCTTTATTAAAGAAATTAGTGCTGCTTGATATGACAGAATTTAAATAAGCTGTGGAGAATTTGGAGCTGCTAAAAGCCTAAGCTAAGTTGCTGGCTATACACATACAAGAAAGTATATTAGTGAGTATACAAGAGGAATAGAGGGGTAGAGAAGAAAGGGTCAAGGATAATCTTAAGGCTAAATATCCTAAACTCTGTCATAGGGAATTTGGCATGGTGTTAATGCATATTCTTGATCAGAGATTGGCCTGTCAAAAGTTTTGAGAAAAATTCCAAACATCTTGTAAGTTTAGTATGTTAAATATTAGAGTATTAACAGTGTGTTGAGGTAGTGCTTTAAAAAAATCTGTTTACTTTGTTGAACCCTCACTGTTTCACAAAATATTTGACTGTAGAGTACCTTTTTCATATTTTAGGACACAGTGTATTAGTGTTTTTAATCTATAAAAGATTCTGAGGAGGAAGGGAATTGAAGTTGGTGAAATGTTTTATGTTCCCTGAGATTCCTTGGAGCAGTTCTATTCATTCAACATTAAATTCTGGGCTAGGCATAGGCTCGCACCTGTAATCCTAGCATTTGGAACATCAAGGTGGGAGAATCACTTGAGGCCAGGAGTTCAAGACCAACCTGAGCATCATAGTGAGACCTCCTCTCTATAAAAAATTTAAAAATTAGCCAAGCATGGTGGCACACGCCTGCAGTCCCAGCTACTAGGGAAGGTGATTTGAGAGGATTGCTTGAGCCCAGCAGGTAACAGTGAGCTATGGTCACACCATTGTACTCCAGCTTGGATGGCAGCGAGACCCTGTGTCAAAAAAAATTTGTTTTAGAAGAGAAATTATATTTGAATAAATGGCTTCATGGCTTCCTGGAAAAAGTTGAAAATTATCCATGTAAGTTGTCAAGCCTAGAGAAATGGGAGCATCATAATAATGTTAAAATATTGAAAGTCATTGTCATTTTATTATTTTACTCTTTTGCTTGAAAATACTTTCTCCATGGTATCTGGATTTGAGGGAAGAGTGGATTAGATTTTAGACAAAATTAATTTGACTTGATGGAACATTCAGATTATAGTTGGAATTTGCACTGGAGGGGAAAAAGGAGCTTTGTCCTAAGATTTTGTATAAACTAAAACATTGTTACTTGTGCTGCTTTAGGAGTTAAATGGTGAAATAAATTATATTTTGCTTAAGTATTGAATATAGTTTCAATTTAGAAAAGGCTTATCCATAGTTTTATTTTCTTAAATTCTATTTTTGGTATTTTAATAGATTAATTTTACAGAAAAAATTTGAAAGGATTTTTTAATGTTGATAATTTTTAATTCAGATATAATATACATATAATAAAATGCACATATCTTAAGTGTACAGCTATATGAATTTGGACTGCTTTTCCCAAGCAGACATAGCATTTTCTACTCCTATCAGCAAAGTCTGAGAGCTTCAGTTATTTTTCTTGCTTACCAACACTTGGTTTTTTTCTGTCCTTTTTAATGTAAGACATTCTGATTTGTAATATATAGTTTTAAAAGGAATTGTAATGCTTTGAATTTCTTGAAATTTTTTTCTAGATCATTTCAAAGGTGGTCAGTCTGGATTAAATCAGTCTAAGAATTTCTTAGATCCTAAGGAATTAATGGAATTGTTAAAATCTAGAGATTATGAAAGGTAAGATTTTTTTTAATTTTAGAAAGATGTCATTTATAGTTTTGATTTATTCATAGAGACTTGAATGTTTTTTTCATAGGGAAGTAAAAGGATCAAGAGAGAAGGTCATTAGTGATAAAGATCTGGAATTGTTGTTAGATCGAAGTGATCTCATTGGTAAGTACCATGCTTTATTTTTTAATGGAAATTTTGAAATATACACATAAATAGAATAGTATGCTAGACCCCTTATAAAGCAATCTGTTTAGCCACTATAGTTTACAACATTTGTCCATCTTGTTTCATTGCCATTTTTCTTTTGTCAAGAGTATTAAAACAAATTTCAGATGTCATGACATTTTTGCACATACTTTATTATGCATTTTTTACTGAGGATATGTTTTTAAATAGCCACTATGCCATTATTACATTTAAAAGACTTGACACTAATACCTTAATTTTGTCTATTATAGTATACAAGGTATATAAGGATAGTTTAACAGCTGAAAATATTAATATGATTCACATTAATTGAATGAAGGAGAAGTAGATGATGACCTCATTAGATGCCCACAACTAATTTGACATAACAGTATAACAATCTTCCTAATTCTTAAAACTAGATATAGAAAAGAAAGTTCTTTTGCTGATAAAGAACATTCATCAAGGAAATTACTAGTAAAATCAAGAATAATCAAGATAATAGCTCTCATTCCTACTGTAATTGTGCAGTGTAGAAAGAAGTCTTAATACCATAAAATAATAAAAATAGGTTAGAGAAATAATAAGAGTCCAAATTGCTTATATTTGGAGATGGTCTCATATTATTCTTAGAAAGTCCAACAGAATCCAGAAGCTTTTAGAATAGAATTCAGAGGGTTGCTTATGAATTAGTAATATGTGTAACATCAATAATTATTTAGTAAATGAGATATTACAGCTACAAAACTGTAACATGCCTAGAATTAAATATAACAATTTTTAAGGCCTTTATGGAAAAATTATGAAACACTGAAGGACATTTAACAGAAAGTCCGAATAAATGTACAGATTTAACTAATCAAGGTTATGAACGTTTAATGTAAAAAATAAGTTAGTATTCCCCAAACTAACTTAAATTCCTTACATTGCTCTTATAATTAAAATCCTAGTATGACTTCTTAAAGAATAGACTATTAAAATTTATATAGAAGAGTAAAGGGTCAAGAACCAAGACAATTTTAAAGAACAAGATAATCTGTGCCAGGTATTAAGTCTTATTAAAAAGAATTGGCACATCATATGATAAATTGAATAGTGTTATGATGTGGTGAACCTAGAAAGACATTCAGACTTTTCATGGAAGATCAGTAAGTGACAGAATAGCCTTTCAAACCAGAGAAGGGAAATTCCTATTAATCAGTATATGATGCTGGGTAATTAGTAATCAGCAGAGGGAAAATTAACTTACATCCTCCTCACCTCACTCTGTATTTATGAACAAATTTTAATTACATTAATAATCTAAGGCTGGGCGTGGTGGCTCACGCCTGTAATCCTAGCTCTCTGGAAGGCCGAGGCGGGCGGATTGTTTGAGTTCAGGAGTTCGAAACCAACCTGAGCAAGAGCGAGACCCTGTCTCTACTATAAATAGAAAGAAATTAATTGGCCAACTAATATATATAGAAAAAATTAGCCGGGAATGGTGGCGCATGCCTGTAGTCCCAGCTACTTGGGAGGCTGAGGCAAGGCAGCAGGATCGCTTGAGCCCAGGAGTTTGAGGTTGCTGTGAGTTAGGCTGATGCCATGGCACTCACTCTAGCCTGGACAACAAAGTGAGACTCTGTCTCAAAAAAAAAAAAAAAAAAAATCTAAGCATGTATTCAGAACCTACATATTAAAAGAAAATTTTAACTTAAGAAAATGGAAAAATATGTTTATAACATTAGGATTAGAAAAGAATTCTTCATGTTATAAAACTCACAAATTATATGAAAAGAGTGGTAGATTTTTGTTACATTAATATTAAAGTCATCTTTAAAACGGATGATACCATAAACATGTAAGACAAAAATCTCAAACAATATCCGTAACATATAAACAGATACAAAATAACTAAAAACAAGAAAAATAGACTACATAAGAATAGACTATTGGCCGGGCGCTGTGGCTCACGCCTGTAATCCTAGCTCTTGGGAGGCCGAGGCGGGCGGATTGCTCAAGGTCAGGAGTTCAAAACCAGCCTGAGCAAGAGCGAGACCCCGTCTCTACTATAAATAGAAAGAAATTAATTGGCCAACTGATATATATATAAAAAATTAGCCGGGCATGGTGGCGCATGCCTGTAGTCCCAGCTACCCGGGAGGCTGAGGCAGAAGGATCACTCAAGCCCAGGAGTTTGAGGTTGCTGTGAGCTAGGCTGACGCCACGGCACTCACTCTAGCCTGGGCAACAAAGCGAGACTCTGTCTCAAAAAAAAAAAAAAAAAAAGAATAGACTATTACCAGGAGAAAGAAGTGTCAGTGACCATACAAATGTGACTGGAAATGAGAATAATACAAACTAAAATCAATACAGCTTTACTCCATAGCTGTCTCATTGACAAAAAATTTAAAAGACTATATTGACAGTGATTCTATATGTTTGTAAAGGTAAGTTTTCAATGGTGTCTTGCTTTCTCAGTTTTTAAACTAACCATGATTGGGCTTCTTTCTAAAACATGTTTGAGAATATAATTCAAATTGGTATTCTCTTTACTGCTCTGTAACTGTATCTTACCATAAATTCAGTAGAAGAGATTTTGCTTAGCAAGACTGATGCTTCAGATTTATGTGTTCCCTAAAAGCTGATCATAGTTATTCAGATGAGAACAGTGTACCTTTTTGATTTTGCTCTTAAATCTTACTGATAAAGGAAGAGATTGCTGTGTATTATTGTGAGTTTTTAAAGTTTGGAGAGATGACTTGCTTCCTATAAATCATATTGGAAATTTCTTTTATGATTTCTTTTCAGGTTCTTAATACTTCTAAAAAACTACCTGTCTTAATATTTTTTTCTTAGATCAAATGAATGCCTCAGGACCAATTAAAGAGAAGATGGGGATATTCAAGATACTAGAAAATTCTGAAGATTCCAGTCCTGAATGTTTGTTTTAAATTGGAGCTAAAAATGGCTTTTAGAAGTTCTTGTTTACATCTAATAATTTGCTGATACTGGTTTTGAAATCCACACTGTCTATTTTACTTTTTTTGATTATATCAGTTTATATAATGTAACTAGTACCATTGCATACTTAATAGAGGATAATTTTCTGAGCCTTATTAAGAACAAAGAAGTATCCATATTAAGATTGGATTTTTAGTTAATTTTTGAGACTGGGTAGTACTCTTGGGTACAGGCTGATATGTACTTAACCACTTCCAGATTTATACAGTCTTCCTGTGGAAGTTTAGTAAATGTTTTTCTTCCTTTCTTTTAGTAAAATGGTTCATGGGTTTTTGGTACTTCAATTATGGAGTAGGCTTTTGATGGGAGGAGATGGGGATTATGCTTTTTGTTGTTTAAGCAAGAAATTGTTTGATTTTAGAGTCTATTTCTATAAGATAGTTTACCAAATAAATGTTTATTATGAAATGATCTTATCAAATTATTTTTTCAGGAAATTGATAAGTGAAATAATAGCAGAAGACTTGACTGGCATTGGGATTCAATATTACTATACTGTTTTGGTTTCATTCACTAATACTACTAATGTTTGCATATGTCATACAAAGATTTAAACTGAACATTGGGCTAACACAGAAGGCTCTGGAAGAAACTGTAGGTCTTGATAAAAGACCAGAACTTGGACATGGTATTGTATCATGCAGGACAAAAACAGTACAAGAGAGGAGAGCCCCTGATAATTTATATAGTAGGAGTTTAAATAGGGAGAAGAAAACAAGAACTAGGAATATAAGTAGTGCAAAAATGTATAGAGCATAAAGGCCAAAAAGGGCACAATTTAGGTCCTGTGTGAAAGAATATCAGACTATGAGACAGGAATCCTGATGACACCTGAAGAGAAGAAATGCCCCCTGAACCATACATTTCTGTGCTGGTTGTTTATCTCGGAAAAATGTTACTGTTGTCTGTATGTTCAAATGCAGATCGCATTATCTGTGCCTTAGGATAAGGGAACTAGGGCTCAAAAAACCAACTATTTCAACAGAACAATTGGCCAAAGAAAAAGACAGACTACGGAGTAGTTTTTTATTTTTTAAATGAAAATGTTTAACAGTCATATAAGTGTGCTAAGTCTTGCTTGAAATTTATGATCCTGACATTGGTGAGTTGCTTACAAGTTATACTAAATTTTCCCAATTCTCTTACATTCTCCTAAATAACTGTTTCATAGCTTCATCTCTGTCATTACATCTCTAATATCTCCTCACTCTCACCTTGCTCCCTGTTGCACTGAGCAAATATAAACAATTAGAAAAGACTTTTTAAAAACTGTCACCACTGCATCTGTAAACCTAGTGGCATATGTGTCTATGTATCCTTTCTTTTTCTTTCCTTTTTTTTTTGCTATCCTGTCTTAGGTATACCTTTCTTTCTCGTTGTTATGTATATTGCCTATCCTAACCAGAGCCAACTGATAAGTCTTATTTCTTTAATAGCAAAACTCCTTGAAAAAAGTTGTCTGTATTCACTGTTTTTAGTTTGTTCTCTTCCATTTTTTCCTGAGCCCATTCCAGTCAGATTTTTCTTTCTGTAGCATTTCATACAGTTGTTGGCTCTAATCCATAAAACAGTTTCTTTAGTTGGCTCCTCCTAGCAAACACATTGGCCTGGATTTTCTTCCTACTTCTCTGCCTCTTTCTCATTCTCCTTTGCTGTTTTTTGTATCTTTGTCCCTTAAACATTGGAATGTTTTAAGCATGCTTTAGGACTCCATCGATGGTTTTATCTCATTTCTTTAATACCAACTGTGCTGATGATTTTTGATTAAAAATTACATCTCCAGCCGGAACCCTTCTCCTGACCCCCAAACTTGCATATCTAACTGTCTGCTTGGTATTTGAAAACTCACACTGTCCAAAATCTGAACTTTGATCCTCTCTATCCAAATTTGCTTCTTTTGCATTTTCCTTATTCAATAAATGGCAATTCCCAATTGTTTAAACCAAAAAATCTTGATGTCATTTTTGACATCTCTCTTTTCCTCAGTTCACATCTGGTTCTAAAGGAAGTCCTGTTGCCTATACTTTGTAAATATGTCTAGAATCCCACTACTTCAACATGTAATAATGGTCTCCTATATCTTTTTAGTGTATATATATAATAATTACTTGTTGATATTATCTCTGTGTAAATATTGTCCTTTAGGTAAGCCATGGTATATGCTGATTGTATTTTCACTCTTGTATAGCTTTTTACCTCTGACATTAATAGTTCTCTTTTTTACCTATCAGTAATTTTTATCCAGACTCTCCAGAAGTATAAATCGCTCAATATGTTCCAACAGATCAGGTGATTCAGTGGTAAACTTACCCCCTCAAATACATCTTATCCTCCCCACCCACACTCCTACCGTAGCATTCTTTAGTGTGGACTGTAGAACAGATTAAATCTGAAACCTTCCTTTCCCCTTCTAGATATTTCTATTGGCTATTTCTTGTTTTGGAATCACTGTTTACTGGATCTCATGTCTTCCTCTTCCTTGGTTTATTCCCTCAGTTTGGTTGATTATGTTGTCCATCGTTTTCCTGAGAAAAGGATTCAAGGAAGATGAATTTTTTGAGAACTTGTGAATCTGACAGAGTTTTTGTTATATGCCTACATTTGATGGATAGTTTTCAGTTTGAGGTTTTAGATTAAGGATAATTTTCTCCTCAGATTTTTGAAAGTTACTCTATTGTCTCAGTTTCCAGTGTTTCTGTGAAGAAATCTAGATACTTTGATTTCCAGTCCTTTGATACAGGGACCTGCTTTTTTTTTTTTATGTGAACTTCTAATATGTCTTTGTCTTCTGGTTTCTGAAATATCACAATGATGTACCCTTGGTGTGGATCTTTTTTTGTTTGTTTTTACTGTGTTGTAAAGCTCAGTCTGAATAATCTGTATCTCTTAATTCTTGGAAATTTTCTTGAATGATTTCTTTGAGGATTTCGTCTTCTAATTATTTGGTCCTCTTTTCTGGCTAGAACTTTTTAAGGTCCCCCCACATTCCCCGGGCAAAGTCTTATTTCATTTAAATGATTATTCTCTTGGTTTATTCTTTTTTTTTTTTTTTGGAGACAGTCTTGCTCTGTTGCCCAGGTTAGAGGGCCGTGGTGTCAGCCTAGCTCACAAAAACCTCAAACTCCTAGGCTCAAGCAATCCTCCTGCCTTAGTATCCCAAGCAACTAGGACCACAGGCATGTGCCACCACACCCAGCTAATTTTTTCTATTTTTAGTTGCCTGGCTAATTTTTTTCTATTTTTAGTAGGGGTCTTGCTTTTGCTGAGACTGGTCTCAAATTTCTGGCCTCAAACGATCTTCCTGCTTTGGACTCCCAGAGTGGTAGGATTACAGGTGTGAGCCACCATGCACAGCCTGTTTGGTTTATTCTGTCTTTTATTTTGGATGCTTTTTCAAATGCCTTGGGATAATTGACTGTTCCTCAAATTTAAGAGCAAGGGATCAAAAAGCTATAAGGAATCTCTCTAAGCTCCATGTATGGGGTTTGTCAACAGGTGAATTGTACTGCAGTGTGATTTGACATGGCTATTTGAAGTCCCCTAATTATGTGTATCTGTAGATCTTTTCTGAGAGAAAAGTCCTCCAATCTCTTGTCCTTTGTGGGTATATACCTTGCGAGTTTTCTTTTTGAGTGAGAAGGAGGGAAAGGGTATGGAGATCTTACTATTTAAAATGTTGATTTCCTTAGTATTCAGTAAGGTACTGCACCCTATCTATATCTGGATTCCCCAATTCCAGAGAACCTCTGATCACCTTTCCAGGGAGTGAACACTTCAGTTTTCTTCTAGTGCAAGGGAAAATTAATCACATTACAGGGAGGTGTGGGGCCTTTAGGTTTAACTGCTTCTTTCAACCAATTCTGGGATTTTTTAAATGACAACCTGTATTCAGAACTGAGACTTCCAGTTCACTAGTCTTTTGAGACAGTTACCATTCATGCATTTATTTTTGAGTTTCCAAATTCTTGTGTTGTCATCTGTTGTCCTGGGAGTTTAATTTCCCTTTCATCCTTTTACTGTCATTTTAGTTTTCAGATTTTAGCCAGGGACAGAAGGAACAGGTATCGTGGACTAATTTCATGATACTGAAACAAAAGTACTCCCTGCTTTATGTTATATAAAAGATTATTCTCAAACTCAGCCTTGTCTTCTACAACCTGGTCCAATAATGAAAAATGCTTTATTAGCTTATTTGTTTAGTGAGCCATTATTCCATATTATTAGACAGTTCTTGAATGTGTTAAGAGTTATGGTGAAAGTAGCATTTGAACATTTCCAAGCAATTGTTTTTTCTTTTTCTTTTTTTTGTGAGACAGAATCTCACTCTGTCACTAGAGTGCAATGTTTGTACCTTACTGCAACCTCATACTGTTGGGTTTAAGTGATCCTCTGCCTCAGCTTCCTGAGAAGCTGAGACTATAGGCGTGAGCCACCATACCCAGCCCAAACAAATGTTTTTGATGGAATCTTTTACCAATGTCTTAGCAATTACATATGATTTTTTAGTCTTAGCAACTTGAGACAATACTTTGTTTTGTTTTGTTTTTGTTTTTGCTTTTGAAACAGGAGGTGTCTATCACCCAGGCTGGAGCACAGTGGCCCAGTCATGGTTCTCTGCACCCTGGAAACCCTGAGCTCAAGTGATCCCCCCAGCTCAGCCTTCCAAGTAGCTGGGACTACAGGTGTGCACCACCATGCTTGGCTCATTTTTTTTTTTTTTTATAGAGATGGGGTCTCATTATGTTTCCCATGCTGATCTCAAACTCCTGGCTTCAAGCAATTGTCCCTTCTTGACATCCCAAAATGTTGGGAGTATAGGCCTGAGCCAAGAAGGTATAATAGAGTATAAGAAGGTATGTAAGAAGGAATAACAATAAAGATAATAATTTCCAAGCCGTAATGTTTATATTAAGAACATTAAATAAGTGCCTCTGGTGATTTTAAATTCCATATACTTTTTTTCAAAGAATTATTTTAGTTTTGAACTTATTCAAGTTAATGTATTAACGTTTTTAAGATTCCATTGCTATATTAGCCAGTACATTTCACAAATAACTATAGTTTTTAATACTTCACCATCAAGTATGGTTACAAAAATCAAGCCCAGGGAATTATACTTACAAGTAAAATGAAAAGATCTCTTTTGGTCTTCATTCCTTTGGAATCACTTACTGTCATAATTTGATTTGCTACCACTGCTACATTCAGAGAAGATATAACCCTTCTTGTGAAATCTAGTGGAGCTCATCTATGATACACATTTTACATCCCTAATTTAGTTAATAATATAAAGTCTAAATTAAATAGGCTTAATTAAAAATTAAAATGATTTGTAAAGTGAATTACAAAAATAATTTTTTTACAATTTTGTATACTGTATGGGGGTCTTAAATTTATTTTTCCTCAAG